TGGCAGTAAAAACCTAACTAAGACAGCCAAGCTCCCCCTACGTATTCAATACAACAGAAGTCAAAGCTTGAATAATAAACAACTGAAAGATGAAGGGGATACAAACCAAAAATGAAGTCAAACTATCCTTATTTGCAGATGATATGATTTTATACAAAAAAATAAAAAGAAAATTTTACAGCTGATGAACACTTTGGGCAAAGTAGCAGGACAAATAATTAACACAAAAATCAGTAGCCTTCTTGATATTAAATGAAAGAAATCAGGAAAACAGTACCTTTCACACCAGCCTCAGCAACAACAACCAAAATATCTTGGGATTATTGTAACCAAGCAAATGAAAGACGTGCATAATAAAAACTTTAAGACACTGAATAAAGAAACTGTAGAAGACCGCAGATGTAAAGATCTCCCATGTTCTGGAATCAGTAGGATTAATATTGTGAAAACAGCCGTCCTACCAAAAGAAAACTACAGATCCAAAGTAATCTCCATCAAAATTCCAACATAAGTCGTCACAGAATTAAAAGACAAAACAGGAAAAAGTCTTTACCAATAATACATCTGTTAGAGGGTTATTATCTAGAATATATAAGAGAAAACTAGAATAAGACAATAAACAAAGAGTGAACATCAAGAAACCAACTACCCAGATTTAAAAATGGGGAATAGAACTAAGCAGAATTTAGTCAAAAGGTGAGACACAGATGACTAAGAAACACTTTTGAAAATGTTCAACATTCTAGCAACCAGGGGAACGCAAATTAAAACTACTTTGAGATTTCGTATTACCTGAGTCAGAGTTGTCAAGAACAGTACAACAAATGACAGCACCTGCTGGCGAGGATGCAGGGGAGGGGACAGTGACTCACTGCTGGAGCAGTGCAGACTTGTATAGTTACTATGAAAACCAGGGTGAAGGATTTTCAAAGAGCTGAAAATGCATCTATCACATGACCCAGCTATACCACTCTGAGGCATATACCCAAAGGACTCTACATCTTACTTCAGAGATACTTGCTCATCCATGTTTATTTATTTCAGCTCTATTTATAATAATTAGAAAAGGCCTAGATGTGAATAGGATCAAGAATGGAGATGGAATCTTTCAAGGAATGTAGATGGAATACACTGTTGGAATGAAATAAAGGGCAAGCTAGAATAAATGTGGAGGGGGTATGGGTGAGCAGGGTAAAGAGGGAATGTGAGGAGGAACAATGAACACTAAAAGCCTTTTGAAAAGCCAATGGGAAGATTGCTACTGTAGAAGCTTCCTAAACATACACATAGTAAAGGAACTTAAATGGAGTCATCACATATTGGGGTGGGAGTGGAAACAACATTCCTACATTAGACATCATATGCCATCAAGTAACATTTTCAGTACCATGAATGGGTTACATCCTGAGTCACTGGTGAAAGGAGTCCCATAAACTCTGCAAGTATCAGAAGCTATTGACAAACTTATTGTTTACTCTCCAAAACCTGATGGTGAGACCCTAATGCTAAAGACATCATTTAATTATCAAACACTGAGAAACTGAACTTGTGCCCAACTAGAAATTCATCCCTGCTTACCAACTTCATAGTGCTAGAAGGTAAACTGTGTGCTACTGGAGGCGAAAGGTGATCATTAATTTCTTTTAACTACAAATCTTGATACCTGTAACTTCAACCTACATGCAGATTTGCCCACCACTGCAATAGTGGTACAAATATGTTGGGGATAAGCAACCACTTCTTGATTGGATTTAAGGTCCACTCCACGAGATGAAACCTCCACCTGACACTGCTAATAGATCAAGAACCTGAGACTAGATGGGTCATGGGCACTAGGGGAACTCCTGTTAGTATCACTCTGTTAAGTAACATAGGAATAAAATGATTTCTAATGACACAGTGCTATACTCATAGAGCAGTGCATTGCCCAACTCTTATCAGAGAAGCTGCTTCTTGTGGTAGATGGTAATTAATTAAACAGAGACTCAAAACTGGACAATGTGCACAGAATAAGAGGCTTTGGAACACTAATCCCTAAATGGTGTGCCTTTATCACACCTCTCCCCTCAAGGCTCAGGGATGTTTTTGGAAATGGAGGCACAAAGACTGTAAAAGCCAGAGATTATGGATGACTCCAAGGAAACAGCACCTTCCAGATACAACATCACTCATACACATATGAATGCACATAGGGTATAACAGCATGCAAAGATGTGCACAGGTTCAAAACAGAGAAAACACTAGTATTGAGAAGGGAAGGTAGACTCAAAGTCCCACTTTTAACCAAGAAGATATTTGCAAAGATAAAATGCTGAGAAAGGGAAAATTAGTTTCCTCCAATAGAGGAAACAGTCATCCTCTAGGGCAGGCTCATGCCCAGAAGCAGCTAGTCAACGCAAAGAGACACCATGTTTTATTCTAGTTGTCTGTTTTGTGCGCTGTTTGTTTCATTCTGGTACTTTTTGTTTATTAGGCATGGTTTATTTTGAATTTCTTTTTTTGGTATTTATTTTGAGAGAGAGAACATGAAGTTGGGTGGGAAGGGAGATGGGAAGGATCTGGGAGGATTTGGGGGATGGGAAGTATATGATCAAAATTAATGAACAAGCAATATTTGAAACAAAAATAATAAACATAACTTTATGAAAATAAACATAAGAGATTTGCTACTTAGCATAAAAAAGTTTTTCCAACTTCAAGAGTTCAAGGCAGTCTGTCCAAAAGTAGATGAACACTGTACTTAATTCAGGTCCTCATGGGATCTGCTGCTTTAACAAAGGCAAATGCCTTAACACACATAAAACAGACATGTAAATGCATTCACAGCAAATACTATAGTTAGACATTCAATAATTGTTTTCAAATACAGATTTTAGTGTTATATTTTAATATAAACATGAATGATCTTGTGTTTCTTGATAACAAACCAAATGAAAGTACAGAAAGAGACTTCATAAACTTCCCTTTGAAGGTAGAGTTGAGAATTTACTAAGGATCTGAAATTGAGAGTCAATCCAGAGCTGATCAGGAAATGAATCTACACTAGTGAATTGAAAAACTAAATAATACGAAGCAAAAAATTACTTGTTAACTTTACAAATCTATAAGGTGTCACATGATTTTGACTTAAAGATAAACCAAAGTAAACAGCAAAAGTCTTTGACATGGAGGTTTCATTCAAGGTAGCCAGTCTGTAAAGAGAAGACCGAGTGCATGTCAGGGGGCAGGTATATAAGTGTATTTTCACATTTACAAGGTAAATCTAGAACTGTTGCAAACAAGAAATTGCCAGAAATGTATTGAACAACAGTAAAAAAGCAAATACAAAGAAACAATTACTATGAGCAAAAAAACAGAAAGACTAAAAAATGTAAATTAAAACTGAAGTTAGCAATAATCATCTTAATACTTAAATTACAAGATACTATATTTCTATTACATTTATTGAAAGACATCAGCAAAATTGATGGCTAAGATTATCAGTTTTCTTTTGGATTTTCTTCCATATTTGTCTATGTGATTTTAAACTTCAAAAATTTACACATTAGTTTTTTTGTATTTTTTTAAACTCTGCATATCAACATCAACTACTAACTAAGAGGGATAAAGAAGGTTACACATAGTCTAACATATAATTTCTAATTTACTCTAGGTGAACACATCATCACGCTATCACCACAACTCACTTCCCTGCTTAACTGGCCTGAAAATGTTGCCAGTGAACTGGCTCAAAACTGCAATCACCCCTTCTGAGGGTGGCTCTGTAAACATTCAGGAACAGGGGCAGAGAGACTGCGAGAATGAGATGATGTGAGGGGCTGTGCAAGCTGGTATCAGGACACAGCATGGCTGCTGCAGCCATGGACTCACAGAAGAGGTGGGGATCTGCAAGACTTGCTCAACCACATCATCGACATTCCATTATGGATGGGAGTGGGACTCTTGAGGCCCTGCCCATGCACAAGGGCTTATAAGCAATTTACGGTTGCTGGGGAAGAGTATACACCACACCGATAAGTTGCCCCTGATCAAGTAAATCACCCCATCTATGCCATCACATGCACACACGCACGCACGTACACACACGCACGCACGCACACACATGCACTCACATATGCATGATCACAACAAAAAGACACTGAAGTAGAAGGAGGGTTTTTCGGAAAGAAGGAACTTGAAAGAGTAGGAGTGGGTATAAGAGAGGACGGAGGAAGCCATAAAATCAGAATACATTATACATGCATGAATTTGTGAAAAATAGTAAGTAATAACTAAATATGATCAAAGCAGAATGTAACCTAAGCCACAAAGGGCCTTGAGAACTTAATGCCATTAGACATCTTCTTCGTTCTCATCCCAGTGACAGCCAGATTCTGCTAAACACCAGGCAAGTGGTATTTCCCTCTAAAATAATAGCATTTTTAAGTATTAGATTTATTATACCCAACTTCACTGGAAAATCCCTTTAGAATAAGTGAAAATAAGGTTGAAATGAAAGAAGGTTCTCCCATAGACTGAGCATTCTTAGAGACCCAAGCTTATCTCCTATGGAGGAGTGGATCAGCTATCTCTGACCAAGTAACCACAGACAAATCAGGTCAATGCACTTCAAATTAGTCTCCTCTTGGGAAGGGAGGAAGCTGGTTGTGAAGACAGGTACAAATAACCCAGTGCTAATTCCCTGTCGGATTAGGCAGAGAGCGAAGGAGAGTGATGTCAACTCTACTGCTACTCTCTCCTCTGGGGCAGCAAAGTTTACGTAATTCCTAATAAAATAATTTCCAGGGTAATAAGATGATTCTAGTCCATCAAAGAGAAGTTATTTTTAATATTCTTGTTCAAATAGTTTGCATACTTTTACTTTACACTACTAGGGTACGGGTTCTATACTTCATTAGTAACCACACATGTATACATAAGAACAAAACTAAAAGTGAATTATATCACATAGACAGGAGCATGCAACTCTACACACAGACTCAATTGTAAGAAAAGTATACCTTCCATCCCTGTGATGATGCTCAATGGTCTGACTGTATCTGGAGCGAGGTAGAGTAAGAAAATGACTGCAAGCATGGCAGAAACAAGAATAAAATGAGACTCAGGAAAGAAGTAAAAGGTATAGTTTAGTTATAAAAGTTAAAATCAAACATAATCAGAGAGTAAGCAAAGCCAATGAAATTGCTACTGGAAAGCTTGGCCAACTTCTCAATGGCCATTGGAACATGGCAGTGTAAAGGGTAAAGTAAACCAAACGTTCTGAAAGTAAAATGCAACAAAATATAAGATTTAATTTTTTAATTAAATGATAAAATTAGTATTGCATCAATATACTGAGCATCATATTTTTGCAAATGTTATATTACTAAAATGTTTTCCTTCTTTTTTGGAGAAAAGGTGAGAAGAAAAAAGTAATAAAATGACCATCAAGCAAGTTAAGGGCACAGAGGTGATATTTAATACCTGTAATGCTTAGGACACTTCATGAGGTTTTATTTTTCTTTTATTGTTCCATCCCTGACACTGCTTGAATCAAGTTTCTGCATCTTAATTTCCTACCTTCAAACCTCCTCCATGTGACTCGATTCATTCTTCCCCATTGGTACTGACTCTCTCAACCCCACCCACCTTCATGTCACACGGCATGTCACTACCTTCCAGCTAGGTACCACAGACCACCCAGCACTCTCTATGCACAGGAGGTGGTTCCCAACTCCACAACCTGTTCATGCTCATCATCCTGGCAGGAATGCCTGTCATTCCAAGCCTGTCTCTACTCATTTGCTTTTGAAAGTCCTCCTCATCTTTAAAGTCCAGATGCTCTTTGAATCCTTTCCCAATAAACCTAAACAAGTCATTTTCCTTTCTGTTCTAACAATATTAGACTCAGTCTCATAGCATTTTATTTTCTATAATTAGTAAATATAAAATGATATGTCTAATATACCAAGATAGTATCATTTTCAAATTTCTGAACACAATAGATGATCCACTAAGTACTTATGGGTAGATACCATATTTCAATAATTGATTGCCTGACTTAAGATATGAATGGAGGCCAGGTGGTGGTGGCGCACACCTTTCATCCCAGCACTCGGGAGGCAGAGGCAGGTGGATCTCTTTGAGTTTGAGGCCAGCCTGGTCTACACAGCTAGTTCTGGGACAGCCAGAGCTATACAGAGAAAGCCTGTCTCGAAAACCAAGGGGAAAAAAAAGAAAAAAGAAAGGAAAAAAAAAACCCCAATAAAATGGCATCAGAATCTGAGGTACCCCAGAGGTTTATACATGAAGGCATTTCCTTTTTTAGTATATAAATCCATTACATGAAAACTTATTATTTATCTTCTGATGGTTAAGCAGAAGACAGAAAAAATATGGGACATGAGGAAGGAAGTCCCTAATCTAGGAGTCTGTCTAAAGGCTCTGCCACCTGAGAAGCAAGAACTCCAGCACAATAACTGTTTACTTTGAAAGGTGCTAACATGAAACAATATTCTTTGCATAGACAGATGTTTTGATCTTATCAACTGTAATCCCGACAATAATCCTGAGATCTCATTTAGACCCTTTAGTAAACTACTGAAGACAGTAACTTCAAAACTCACTAAAAGAGTACAGATGATTATTATAAAAACAATGAAAGGTGATTTTCTGCTAGAGATGCCCACACCCAGGTTCTGCACTCTTTACTTCTGAGCATCTTTTTCTTTACCTTTGTTCCTAAACACTATATTAACATATCACTTCTTTAACCCCAAATCTGATTAGTCTTTACACTGTTCTATATGCCAAAGCCATACATTTAGTTAGCCAGATCTGAGGTCCCTAGAGACTCCAGGGAACCCTCCAGCTGCTGAGGTCCCTAGAGACTCCAGGGAACCCTCCAGCTGCTGCTGATGGTGGCATGGGGCTATGTCTCCTCCATTCCACTGACCCTGATTTTAAAATTTTATTTGTGATGCTAAAACCATACTTACGGGAAGGAAAGGCAATCAGGCTAAAAATATAATTGCAGCTGGGTGGTGGTGGTGCATGCCTTTAATCCCAGCATTGAGGAGGGAGAGGCAGTCTGATCTTTTGAGTTGAGGCCAGCCTGGTCAACAGACTGAGTTCGGGGACAGCCATAGCTACACAAAAAAAACTTTGTCTTGAAAAACAAAATGAAAACAAGCAATCAAACAAAACCCCAAAATAAAAAAAAACAACAAAATCCAATTATATATATGCTGTGATGTAATTAAAAAATATAATACTCTCTACATACATTCTAATAGTAAGTTAACTCCTATGACTAAAATCTTAAAAAGATTTCTTGTTCTAAAGCCACGTGTTCATCTCCCCTCATAAATTATGCTCTCAGCTATAGTAGTCACCAAGGTTACTAAAAAAACAATGAGTCAAAAGGTGTAAGGAGGGGGCAAAATGAAGAATGACCGTAACCTATTTACAGTGCATTATTTTAGCTGATAATCTGCATGTAAATGCTTGCAGGACTTGTAAATAGTACTTACTTTCACAACAGAGTAAGATTTTGACTAATGATGATAGAGTCAGACAGATTAAAGAATCAAAGACCCAAAAGAATATAGATACATAATTCTTAAACACTACCCATAAAGATAATGAATGCTGTACCTCATGCATCCACCACTGACATTGAATAAAGAACTATAATAGAATGCATCCGACAACACATCACACGGGTGTGATCAGTGTAAAAGTCTCCTATACAATTTTCCAGCATGTCGCCAAATACTGCTTCACACCGAACTCCGGGATGTGTAGATGTGTTTTGCTTCTGTAACTTCGCTCTTGTGGACTGAATAAACATTCCCATTTCTCAAAGTCTAATTCAGGTGCCATCTTCTACATCTTCCCACAACGCCTGAATTAACTTTTTCCTCAGCTTTATGATTTTTGTTTGTTTGTTGTTTCAGGTTAATTGCTAATCATTAAATATAAAATATCTGAGTTGATGTTTTCTTAATGTTATGTGTATGGCACATTTTTTTTATTAAGTACTATAAAATTTTCTTTCATTCTTTTTCCAGAGTGTGTTATGTAGTTCAGTCAGTCATTGAACTGGCGATGTAGCCAAGGCTGGTCCTGACCTCCTGAGCCTCCTGCACTATCTTCTGAGTACTAGGATTACAATATGCACTGCCCTGCTCACCTAACAATACATTTGCTAAAATATGGCTAGTGTTACACTGTGTGGTAACTGCTTGTCTGCTAAGGACTATGAACTCTCACTGGAAGCAGTGTCAGTTAATTTGCACAATTCTAAATAATAAATTTTATAGAGATAGAAATAAAATGCTTGGTTTCTGCCAAACATAATTAAAATCCTAAATACAAATTCAAGAACATTTGGTTCCAACTCCTATGAAAAAGTGTACATTCAATGAAATGAATTTCTAATTCAATGCATTAGATTTTACTAAGGAGAATAATGCATGCATCTTTTAAAATTCCTAAATTACACTACTTACTAACACAAGGAAAATTCTTTCTTTGGCTTTTTAATACACTGTATGATTGATTGATTCTCGTGTTAGCCAAAGTCCGATCACTATGACACAATATTGATATAACCTATTTCAAAGAGGCAAACATTTATTTTGAACCAGTTCCAGATGTTAGTCCACCCTGATGGAGATGGTGAAGTGAGCGAGAGCAGTTCATCTCAGGCTAGCCAGGAAACAGGGAAATAAGGCCTGCCCTAGCTGGATTCCCTTATTATCCTTCCTCTAGCTAGGTTCATAGCCTACTGGGAAGCCACCTATACTAAATTCAAAGCATGTCGTCTTCTCTCAGCTAAACTTCTGTCTATTCCTCAAAAACACACAAAAGTGGCTTTATAAATCACCCAGACATATCTCAAACCCAATTACATTGATCAGATTCATAATTCTACAAAAATGATATTCATAAATATAAAACATGAGTACTTTCCCCTTTTAAAAGGACATTCAGATAAATTTGATTACTGAAAATCCTTAAGAATATTAAACTTGAACAGACATTAAGAGAGAATGTTGTCCAGTGAATGTTGCTTCTTGTAGTAATGAATTGCACAGATAATCAAAATACTAGAAATGCCTTCTATTAATTGTTTTTATTAAAATAAATTCTACTTTACATAATGTTTTAAAAGACTTAAGGTAGATCCCAACAAAGAATGACTGTGATCTGTACATCTACATGCTTCCCTGTAAACATGAAATGGATTTATCTACTTCAAAATTTCCACAGACAAACATTTGAATATTCTTGCTACACTGAAGTATTCATAAGATCATGAAGAAAAGCATAATGACAACATAAAATAGGGATTAATTATCTGGGTTTTAAAAGAAGATATGAAAGGCAATGGTCCTATGTTTGTGGTCATTAAACCTAGAAATATATGACTTAAAATACTGACAAAATATTATGGATTTAATGTAACAGTAAATAGTTATTTTATAATTTTATTCTAATACTTTCTACAATGATTATAGCCCATATTTTTTGGCTTCATATTGAGTCCATCTTTTTTCATTAAATTCACTTTATGTAAGCTTACCAGAAATTTAAAGTCATTTAGACAGTTTTATTGCCTCAATAAGCCAATTTTCAATGGCTAAGAAGCTTGTGACAGCTATATAAATAATTTGAAAAGCTAATAAAGTTCATTAACATTCTATTAGGCAACCAAAATACCTACTGATCCTTTTTATAACACATTCCAGGTCTAAGGCAAGCCAACATGGCGATCCTACATTCACTATTATCATAGTGAAAAGCGTATTTCCCAATAGGTAGCACACTCATAACCACCCTTAAGGTACTGATTACATGAAATGTTTAAAAAAATTAAAAAGCAAATCAAGTTAAATAGTTTTTACCTGATACTAATAGAAATATTAATTTAATAACCATTTGGTTTCTTCTTTGATCCTAGACACTAACATTAGTATTTGTTTAGCACTATCAATATAGAAGATATGCTGTATGTTATCTTTGGATACAAAAGGGAATTATATGCATGGATTGAGTATTAATCTTGATTCAAACCAAATGATTTATTTTATTCATCATGACAGTTACTTCTCATGTCAATGGACTTGAATGACAAGGAATGTAAGTCACCACTTCATCATATTTTCTGAATAGTATATTCAACTTTGTCATCATCTTATCCTAAACTCATTTGAGAGTTTGAAAAAAGTCTCATGGTATTTTTTTAATATATAACCAAAATGAATTAGAAAATTAATTAATTTTCTTAAAATTAGTAGTAATTAATGTAAGTATTATACCATGTTACTCCTCAGGGTTGTCACAGTTAATGTGGCAACTTCAGAGAATTTTTGCAAATACACCAAGTGTGACTTATTAAGATGTTAAAGCTTTACTGAAGGCCATGAGAGAAAATCTCTTGGAGAATTGTAATAAAGGTTTTCTTAATAAACCACACTGTCTCAGTATTTCTGCATATGAAAAGTAACACTATTTCTCTGAAATCAATTAAAGACTTTCATCTCTATCAGCAAATTGATATATATTACACATGATAATTTGCTATGTGCAGGTAAAAAAAAAATCATTGCCTTCTGATTACCACTATAATCTCCTGTGCAAATTTGCCAGCTATTTTTATTAATCTTTTCTTGACAGGGACTAGTTAGGCGGCACTGGTGGACCTCATAGCTCTGACTCTCCTGACCTCCATCCCAAGTGCTGGGACTGTAAACATGAGCCGCAGTGCTCTGCTGAGCCGCGGTGCTCAGGTGAGCCATGGTCAGGTGAGCCACGGTGCTCGGGTGAGCCATGGTCAGGTGAGCCCCGGTGCTCGGGTGAACCATGGTCAGGTGAGCCGCGGTGCTCGGGTGAGCCATGGTCAGGTGAGCCGCGGTGCTCGGGTGAGCCATGGTCAGGTGAGCCGCGGTGCTCGGGTGAGCCATGGTCAGGTGAGACATGGTGCTCGGGTGAGCCATGGTCAGGTGAGACATGGTGCTCGGGTGAGCCATGGTCAGGTGAGACATGGTCAGGTGAGCCACGGCGCTCCGGTGAGCCATGATAGCCAGGTTCATCCTGTTTGGGTTTTCTTATCAAGAAAAACTGCACATGTTTAACCTTTTCTGTTAAACAAAGGGCTATCTTAAGAAAGAATGTAGAAATAGTAAAGAAAAGGCACTGTTTGGAAACTCAGATGAGACAAAGGACTAGAGAAAACATTTTACAATAACCCTTCCTGAAGGCAATAGAGGTCAGTGAGAGTTGTGTTTACCTGTCTCTATCTGGAGAATAATGGTCATCCGTGACACGGTGTCTGTCCATTCGGCTAATTGTATTGTAATGACCAGGAGCACGTGTCCCTCGAAGCCCCTGTTCTACATTCCTGCTAAGACAGAAAGAACATTATATATCTGACTAATCTATAGCATAACCTCCACAAAATGATAATAAAATCTATTTATTTGGTTTATCTGTATCTCTGATTGAATACATTTTATTTGGAAATGAACAGTTAATTGAGGATCGGGCTGCTTTAAAGAGCCCATTAAGAGAATATTATCCTTCAGGATAAGATAAAAAATATCATACCTTACTTATGGGCAATACCAGTTCTCTATAATTGATAATAAGTGATATACTACACACTAGGGGGAAAGGTTTGTGAGAAGATAGGTTCAATGTTGCACATGCTTTTTAGCATGGGCCACAGGAACAGTGTGAGGGGTGTCTTCCGCATGGTCGGTCCTGAGTTCAAATCTCAGAAAAACAACTATCAGTACCTATGCAATTGTAACCGTGTTCTCTGGTAGCACTCTAGCCTAAACTACCACCTTTATGATTTATTGAATTATAGCTTTCTAATTGTTATCTTACCCAAATCCTTCCCTTAGCTAGTCTGAATACGGTAGTCCTTTGAAACCATGGAATAAAAGCTAAGAATTTCATTCTTGGTGATGGACTAGACTCCTGTCCTTGGCAAATCATCTTTTTCATTAGTTTGCAATGCCACACTTGTATACAGAGGAATGTATAAATACACAGGCATATCTAATATACATATTTATCAAAATGTACTAGTTAGTCAAAATCCATTAAATAAAATTATATCTTCATATATTACACATTTCTTTATTTAGTATGTCACCTGAATTATCATGCATAAATTATATATAGTATTGTCTGTGGTTTACACTTCATGTAGCTCTTTGGTACAGTTAGGTTGATCAGAAATTTCTAATATTATAAGATCAAGAGTAATAGATTGGTATGACTATTTCTCTTTCTACTCATGACTATTTTTAGTTTTTTTTAAAAATTTTTTAAAAATCTTTTTTAACTTACCAATTACTATATGATTCATAAATATAATTATTTGGTTCTAAATGAATCTGCTTAATATTTACACGCAATCTAAAGTTAGTTTTTCTTAACTGTTTTGAACTCTTATGGAAAATAACACACAGATCATGAAAAGAAACTAAGACATGCCACATCTTAGTCCCAATGCAATGGCATCTGATTTTTCTTTAAAAGAATGCTTTAAAGAATCATTTATTTTTAGAGGATATAATGGTAATTTATGTAAAATTCACCCTAACTACTATGCTGTAAGCAAAACTGACACACTCTCTTACCTTTGTGGAGGAGGGACACTTGGTGACCATGATCTAGTCCTTCCTATAGCATCTACCCGGTGTGGAGACCCTGATGGTGAACAATGGTTTGAGGACATTACTTGTTCTGGCACTGACAAGGTGGAGCTTTGAAGATCGCGACCATTGTGCCGGTAATCTAGAGGGAGAAAATAAAATAATCATCTGCACACTAAGTTCTCTGTGTGGCACTAAGGAACATAAAATACTGGTAAGGCTGGGATACTTTTAATAAGCTAAGTGTGGAGTAAAACAAATTCAGTACAACATGTTTGAAAAGTTGTAAGCACAAAAATGAAAATGGAAAGACATTTGATACTTAGGTAGTTACTATGTTCACTGTATTGGGTAGGGTAAAAGCTTAAGTTTTTTTAAAAAACTGATCAAGATTGCTCTAAAAATATTTCATCTGTAGAAACTTAAACGTTCCTTAACCATTGTTAATATACACAGTTCCAAGTTCCTAAGATGCTTCATAGTCTCCACTACACTTTAAATAAGGTGACCACACAACGTACGCAACACTCAATGACATTTTTCTTGAAATACTTGGCAGAGCTGGGACAGCAAAGTAGTCGGAAAAAAATTAACACTCAAAGATGGGGAAGACTGCAGTGACTCAACATCCTCATGGAAGCTAACATTAGGAAGCACAGACACTCGGCCGGGCGTGGTGGCGCACGCCTTTAATCCCAGCACTCGGGAGGCAGAGGCAGGCGGATCTCTGTGAGTTCGAGGCCAGCCTGGGCTACCAAGTGAGCTCCAGGAAAGGCGCAAAGCTACACAGAGAAACCCTGTCTCGAAAAACCAAAAAAAAAAAAAAAAAGGAAGCACAGACACTCGGACGGGGAGGAAGAGGGGACTCTGCACGTCAGCAGAGCAGCAGCTCGATGTGGAGAGGCCAGGGCCATCTCCTGAAGCTGTATGGATGTGAATGATGCATGTGATGGAGAAGCATGGACGCAGCTGAGCAGGGCACGGGACATCTGGTCCGTCATCATGTGCAGTGCAGCTGTTAGTGATCGGTCACTTCGCCACGAATATCTGATGTTGGGCACTTCCTAAAACACTACCGCAGCACGCATTTCCCAGATTAGTTAGAGGCTCTGAGGGAAGCTGAGAAGCTGTACACGTGCTTGGCATGCATAAGGCCCTAGGTTCATCCCCAGTACACGTCGACCTTAGCTGATTATAAAGAGGCACAACTCAGAAAAACCACTTCCCTCCTATGTGGCTTCTGCTGAGCAAGTTCATGTTCTGCAGGAAGACTGGGTCCCATGGAACAGAGCAAAAGATCAAGACATAAATAATTGAAGAAGTAGCCAATGAAATAGGAGAGGAAATTTTGAAAGGGAAGAAACTAAACTAAGATGCAGGCTTATACCAATCCCTCTGAAAATTCGGCATTAGTAGCTGTGGTTTTCAGCGAAGGGAATGCACTTTTTAATTTTTTAAAGACAAGCACTGACAATGAATGGAGAAAAGGCCAGGTACTTATCTAGCAGACAGTTTCTATTGATCTAGACACAAACTGCCTCAGAGAAGAATGACTATGAAGTGTAAGCAACAGACATTGGTAGCAGCTAGTAAGGGCATGGCATATTTCTGTGTACATACATACATACATGTGACACTGCGGTAAATAAGATAAAAATGTTATATGTATTTGTCCGCATACAAAATCATTTTCATAAACTTGGAGATAAAACATACACAGAATCATGTACATGCATACATGATTATATATGCTTTTTAAGTGAACAAGATGATAATCAAATAAAGAGAAAAGTATAAGGAATTTGTTAATGTAAATTAGATAATCTATGAAGGACTATTTGAAAGTGGATTTGAAGTAGTTGTGTGTGTGTGTGTGTGTGTGTGTGTGTGTGTGTGTGTGTGTTTTCTAGATTAACTACCATAGGAAGTATTTTTTAAAAAAGGTGAAGGTTAAGAAATTTACAAGTTCAAGTTCCACACCAGACAGGGCTACACAGAGAAACCTGACTCCAAAAAAAAAAAAAAAAAAATTTAAAAAAAAGAACAAGAAAAAAAGCAAAGAAATTAACAAGTCATATAAATGTTCAGTTAAAATAAAAAAGGCAGAAGAAACAGAAGTTTAAGAACAGGAATAAAAAAACAATGGTAATAAAAAAAAAAGCCCTAGTAGTATTTAACTCTATCAACAAAGCACTCAAATGAGAGTGGTCTATGCACAGTAATTAAAATGTGGATTGATGAAGTAAAAAAATAATCTCCAGGAAATGATGATCATAGGAAGTTGTAGAACAGAAGGTTAAAATATAACAACCAATCACCTTCTTATAACTATCAGTGAAAGCTGGAATTTGAAATTGAAAAGCCAATACCAATTATAATTATCACACCCCCAATAATGAAATTCTTAAGAGCACTCTAACAAAATATAAAGTAGATCTGTATGAAGAAATCAACAAAACTGAATAAAAAACTGTATTATAAGGGGATAAAGGGAGAGATATTCTATAAAACAGGAAACTCAATGTTAAGAAGAAACCAGTTATTATTATTTTTTTTTTACCAATTCAATCTACAGATTCAATGTGATTGCATAGAAATTCTAACAGTTTGTGGGTACTGACAGGTCACTTTTAAAGGTTATGTGGAGAAGCACACAGCTGGGAATGTACCGGTACTGATTACCAGAGTCGGGAGACTGAATGGAGGAACATTAACTACTTAGTATAATTTCTAACAGTCAGAACATTGTAGATAGGCCAAAGAATAAAGCACAAAGTAGAACACAGAATGGCTAAGAAATAAACCAACATAAAGATGTTCAACAGGTCTTTACCCAAGGACAAAAGCAAAGCAATACAGTGGAGCAAATACAGTCATTTCAAAAAATTGATATGAAACTCCTGGACTTTAACACAGAAGAAAATGAGTCTAGGATGCTAGCAAGGTGGCTCAGCATGAGGGCGGTGGAAGACTCTGGAACCATGGACTAGAAAAACAACTGAATGCCATAAACAGCAGTTGGCACACACCTCTAATCCAGGCACTCAGGAGACTGAGGGAGGTGGATCTCTGAGTTTGAGGCCAGCCTGATAAAAAAAGCAAATTCCAGGACAGCTAAGGCTGTTATATAAGAGAAACCCTATCTTGAAAAACCAACACACACACACACACACACACACACACACACACACACACGCACGCATGCACGCACGCACACACCACACACACTCCTTTTAAAGTGTATATATAAATATATTAACTATATATATTCCCCTTTAAAAAGGAACATATATTCTTGTTAGTGTATATTAGAAGTATAGGGCATTACATTTAAGACATTACCTTCAATTTTAAAAGGAGCTAGATTCTAGACTTTGAACAGTGTTTAGACTGGTAAAGATTATGGGGATTTCTGAAGTTGGACTAAATGCATTTTGTATTATGATATACCACACAGCATATAGATCGAGGAGCCAAATGTTGTACTTGGAGGAGGAATTTCCTCCATGGGCCCACGTACTTGAATAGCTTGTCCCTAATTAATGGCACTGTGTGGGGAAGATATGGAACATGCAGAAGACAGAAACTTCCTAGAAGCATGTCACTGCAGGTGGGTTTGAAGAGGTTATATAGCCTTGCCCCAGGTGACCCAGGGAGGGACAATGTCTGTCATGAAACTCACAAGGCCTTCAGGAGACTTTATGAGGTGTCTTCCCCTTACTAAGATTATATAAGCAGTGTCAATTAACTGGGCTGATAATCTTCAGTGGTGTACCTACCCAGATGTTACCCATGGGACTTAATGGTGGTAGGACTATCAGTGACTAACCCATCCTCCTAAGACTCGGACAGGTGGAAACTCATTAGGTCTGTGAGCCCTAGCTTTCCTTGGTGTAAAGCTTCTTTACACCCCTCTCATGGAAAGCCATGCAGCAAATGTGAATAACAAATAAATCTCTATTTTCCCCAACACACAATTCCTTTAAAAGTACAGAAAAACCCAAATGGTTCAACCAAGTCATTTGTGGAGATGGAGGAACAGAGAAAGTCCTTGGATGTTATTGTGCACAGGACTGGCAATGGCGGTCATCTCTAATTGTCAAGTGGACACAGCAGAACATGGGAGTCTCAATAATGTCTCTTCTACAGAGAGCTGGCCTGCGGCTATGTCTGGGTAGACTTTTCTTGACTACTGAACTGAGGTGAGAAGAACCTCCCACTGTGGGAGACACTCTTCCCTGCACAGAGAACTGTACAAGAGTGAAGAAGGGAGGAGACTGTCAGCATCCAGGCATCATTCTCTGCTCTGGAGCGTGGACGACTGGTTGCTTTGGGCTCCTACGGCAATGAGGGACACAAACTGGATTCATGAGCTAAAATAAACCCTCCTTCCCTAAGCTGCTTCTTGGGTCAGGGCATTTTATCACAGTAATGGAAATAAAAATAGGACAATGAATATATATAACTAGGACAGTATACTTCAGAAAACAAGAAAAAAATTAGTTTCACCATATGGAAATAAATGTTTGTGGAGACTGATGGTTATAGATTTAAACATGAGAAACAATATGTATAGGTATTAAAACACTATACATTACCTTACTAATACATATCAGTTTTAACATATCAGTCCAAAATTTAAAAAACTAATTCAGAACTCAATAAAGATGAATATTTTTTTTTGATCTTGAAAACAAAAAATGAAAGAATGTAGGCATGCCTACAAATGACATAGGGATGAAGTGTTTTCGTGATTTGAAGGGAGTGGTAAGGGTGAAAAAACGCTAAGGTCAATGGATACTTAAGAGTAAGAAGTAAAATGAGTCAACTACAAAAGGAAGAGAATAGGAAAATGAGTAAGACAGCAATAATATCAAAGAAAATCTACGGAAGAAATAACTGAGGGTGAATCTCTAAACTATGTGAAAAGTGTAAACAACTTCTGCAGTCTTAGCAATTACTATATTGTTCATTCTTAATAAGAAATAAGGCAAAACACAGCAACTCAATTTTTAAAAGTAGTTTATTGACCATGGCATGCATATTCTACTCTAAAAAAAATCTATCAAAAAGTCAGCAATCACCAATGTAGTTATAGCAGGTCTTATACATAAAAACTATGTTTTCCTGAGTAAAGTTAACTATAATTATGAGATTTGTTAGATTAATTAATCTAGCAAATTATAAATCTAACAAGAAGACTAGAATAAATTATTATTTATTATTATTATCTGTAAGGAGACATTACAGATGAAATTTCAATTATATAATCAATTATATGAAAAATTATACAATTTATCATAAAAGCTTATTATTGAATTGTTTTAAAATAGAAAGTTTATAAATATTTTCTTACCAAGGGCCGGCTTCTTTAAAGAATATTCATTCTAACAATTTGCATAGTATTACCAGCAACTGTTTGGAAGTTTAGGTTGGCAAGGTTTTCTTGAGGTTATTTTTCAAAGATATGGAAGCAAATTTGTATTCTTCAGTTTGTTTATTTTGATGATAATGGCAAATTGCACTCCCTTTTTCCACTACAGAAGAATTGTAAACACTTACCTGATACTACACCAACACCATCGTCACAATCGTAGTCAGAGACCTCACTGTCGCTCACTCTCTTCGACCCTAGAAACAAGTGAGCCATGATTAAACTTGATGGTTGTTCAGAAGAAGAAGGAAGAAAAGCCTACTGAAGGGGAAAAAATAACTGAAAGCATTATAAATACTTGATGATAGAGGAAAAAAGAGGAAGGTTATTACATGCTCACCAACACTGATTTTCACAGACATTTCATGAGGTTAGGATACAGATCACAATGAGGTAACAATTAATACAATTATTTAGAAACATGTAAGACAAAATTTGTAATGAGTAAAAGTCTATTAAGTACAAAATATATAATTAAAGTCTACTGAAAAGTAATTGGTAGCATTAGATGCTTTGGGACAAAGGCACTTAAACCAGGTAAATTTCAAAACACAGAGATAGGTTGTTTTCCGAATCATTACCATGTCACTTCCTGATATGGGTAACTAAGAACTTTGAAGGTAAGTTTTATTACACACGATCATAGAGAATTTCAGAAACATAAATTGATTCATGACATCTTGAACGTTCTTTTTTCCTATAATTTTGGTTATTTTTTCCATTGATTGAAGAAGACAAGAAATAAATCACATATAAAGCTAAATACTAGTCGCTCTGTGGTGATTTCTAAGAAGAGGCCCAGGAGCACCAATAGGTTATAGAATTTAATTACATTATAGATGAGCTTTTTTTTTTTCCCTTGTCTTTGAGGTAAGGTCTCACTATGCACCCTTGCCTGGTCTGGAACTTGTCGTGTAGACCAGGCAGGCTTTTATCTCACAGACATTTGCCTGCTCTGCCCATGTTCGTCACGAGGAATTTTAATGTTAATCTCGATACAGTAAAACTGACATTTTTTTAATAAAACAGAATTTCAATGAACGTACTTTTAAACTTAATTATGAAATATACCATGCACAGAAAGAAGTACTAAATTTTTAACAATATGTGTCTCAGCATAGACACACTATGCAACAGTCTTTGATTACAGTTTTTCCTCTATCTTGGTATCAGAAGACATTTAATGGTGAAGAAGGATAATGGCAGTAGTGCTGTTTCTCAGCCTGACTTGTGTTGTCTTTCATCACATACCACACACCATTCATCGAGTACTAGTTTCAGAAATAAACGCTTTCCTATACAGTCAGAAAGAAAACTGGAGACATGTAATGCATACGGTGCTCCAAGCAGAGATATCAAGATGGTTTAGGAGTGCCCTCTAATAATACATGTATCTGTCAGAAATACTCTGTATTTCCCCCACAGTCGTTTGCTTATCTGTTTTAGGCCATGCCCTTTTCCTTGAGAGAAAGTGTATGATTCCAGCTAGTGCAGTCCCCCTTTTCTCCCTTTAAAGGAGAGCGAGATCATACCTCACACCTCGCTTTTGTATCAAGTATTTTCATCAAATAAAATCCTCTACAACTTATGTCAGAAAGCTTCAATAAAAAACACAGACATAAAAAAAGCACAGACATTGTTGGGAGGTGGTGATGCATGCACACGCCTTTAATCCCAGCACTCGGGAGGCAGAGGCAGGGGGATAAGTGAGGAGTTCCAGGAATACACAAAGAAATCCTGTCTGTCTAGCACAGACATTTATATGAGAATTATTTGACAAATTTCTAACAAACTGGGCAGAATGGAGTGTATAAAGCTAGAACATGTTTTTTAAATGGATTTTGCCAGATGAACGATTACACAGATGGGTCTATAATAGGGGCACTTAAGCAAATTGCCTCCCACCCAATTCATAACAAAATGTCTTTTTGTACAGGTCCAAGTATGAGGTTAATAATTGCTATTACAGGTACATAGTACAAAGATGATAAGTTTTTACTATTAGCCAAGGGTTAGAACAAGAGTGACACCAGAAAAAGACAAACTAATTTTATCAGTCTTTGTGATCTGTGCTGTGTGTGCCTGTGTGTGCATGCGTGCGTGTGCCTGTGCATGTGCATGTGTGTGTGTGTGTGTGTACGTGGAACAAAGATGCATAAACTAAGTCAAAGACTGAAAGTCAGGCCTTTCAGTTAAGCAGAATAAATACTAGTTTCTTCTAATTCTTATGGAATTGAGATTTTATGTTTCCATATTAACCTTAAATAAGTTAAAATGTGCTGTAACTAGGTTCATTATACTTGGATTTTGTCTTTTTAACATTCTGATGAAGTCAAGGTTTAGATTTAATTGGTATATTAGTTGTTTGTAATAGAAATAGTATTTTCAGTGTCTCATTAGTAAGAAACATTTTGTAACTATAGAAAATGAATTTTCTAAGTCTTCCTCTGAAAACTTTGAAATTGTTGCCTTTGGCAATTATATCCACATTCATTTTGAATGTATATGCATATAAGATGGAGACTACTCTTTTTCCTATGGCTAGCACATTGCTCAACATTACTGATTTTATATTTATTATTTCCAGTTATCTGTGATAGAACCTGTGCCATAAATGAATGCTTCCTCCTTCTTCTCATCCTGGTCTGCTTGCCTGTTTGTGTTTTAAAGAAACACAAGGAGAGCATGTACCTGGAAAGGTGAGGAGGAGCTGGGGGAGGGGAAACTTCGATCAGAACATCTTCTATGAAAAAAAATGTTATCCATAAAAACAAGATCTTAAAAAAGGCAAATTTTTTAAAGATAATAAAAAATTATTACTATGCATTATTAAATGTTGCTGTAGAAAATAAATAAACCATAAAATCAATTTTACAGGAGCTGGAGAGGTGGCTAGGTAGTCAAGAGAATTTGCTCTTGCAGCAGACCTGGGTTTAGTTCCCAGCTCCCACATGACAGACAACTCAACTCCAGTTGCCAGGGGACCTGAAACCCTCTTCTGCACTCTGTGGACGCCAGGCATGGACAAGGTGCATGTACATATATGGAGGCAGACCAAACCCTCACACATAAACAGACACAGTCTCAAAAATTTGTAACAAACTGCATATACTTTCCATGTATGCATGTGAGGAGTCCAAATCCATTCTGAGGTGTAAGTGCTTTACTGTGTTTATTTGTAATTTGTGTTCTTTGTTTTGTATTTTCCCTAATTTGTTTTTACTTCCCTAACTTTTTTACTTGACTTATCAATGAAAAAGATAATATCCTAGAGTCTCTTTCAATAGGGAACAATCTGATAATATTCTTTCCAGAATAACTTATGGTGTATTGAGGGTATAGTAATACATAGAAGTTGAAAATTATTTCTTTTTTCTCCCTCTGTGTTTCAAGACAGAGTTTCTCTGTATATCTCTGGCTGTCCTGGAACTAGCTTTGTAGCTCAGGCTGGCCTGGAACTCCTAATCCTCCTGCCTCCACCTCCTTTAGCAAATCTTACCAGAGTGCCCAACCATCAGTAAAAATTATTTTGATAGATAAATAAAAACTTTTGAAAAAGTTTAGCCCACACTCGTGATAAATACCTTATCAGACTCATAAGCAATCTCCTCAAACATAAAAGTTATCTATAATCCCTATGACTAAACCCACACATAATCATGAAATATTGTATGCTGTCCCTCTGGTGCCAAGAACATACGGGGCATTCACTCTAAAGGTGAGCTTTCTATTCCACACTGAACTAAATGTTCTAGACCCGGCAGTAACACAGGAGAGAAATGAGAAGAGTGTCGGTTACAACACAAGGGGAAACATGATCTGAATTGTGGGGAATGATGGGGTGGCTCAAATGCTATGTGCTGCTCTTGCAGAGGACCCAAGTCAGGTCCAGGCAAACACTTATGGCAGCTCACAACTACCGGTAACTCCAGCTCCAGTGGCCCCCAGTTCCTCTGCTGGTCTATTCTGGCACCTGATCTCATGTGCACAAATGCATACACAGACACACACTTACACACACAATAAAAATAAAATACATTTAAAAAATTTAAAGAAGGTTAAAAACATAGCAGATTTGCAGAATGAATAATATAAAGGTGAATTATATTTCTTACATGAAATAAATGAGCAATTAGGAAATTCATTTTAAAACTTAACACCATTTATAAGAATAATCAATGATAAAATAATTAGGAATGCACACATGTCCATTCCAGACTACAAAATACTTCTGCATTAGTTTCCTAGAGCTGCTACAAGGAAAAGACCAAACAATAAACAACAAACAAACAAAGAAGGCAGCTGAAACAGCAGAACTTTACTGCCTCACAGTCCCAGAGGCCAGAAGCCCTAAGTCGGAGGCGTGGCAGGGTCGGTTGCTTGTCTGTAGCTGGTGAGGCTTGCCTCACAGATGCGTCACTCGAGTTGCCTGGCCACCTTCTCCGTGTGTGTATTCAGCCTTCCCCCTGTGGACTCTGCTCTTTCTGACACAGTCTCTTCTTTTGATCAGGCCCCAGTCACACTAGACTACAGCTATGCCTGAACACCGCAATTTAACTTCATTACGTTAAAAAATCTCAATTTACAAATAAGGTCACATTCTGAAGTAACTAAAAGTTAGGATTTCAATGTGTATGTTTTTGAAAGTACAATTCAAACTAAAAAACTACAAATGATATTAAAACAAAAAGGCTTTACACATTAAGAGAATTTCCTTAAAACTAGAAGGCACATATAATGCAATCACAGTGTTAAAGACTAAGAAAAACAATTAATTAAGTGAGAGGAGGATTTAAATACAGCTAAAGTTTGCATTAATATAATATAGCTCAATCAGTAATGATGAAGAAACGGAAATGCATTCCGAGTGCAAAGCCAGTTTCCAACATCACTGAAAGAGGAATTTTATACTCTTCAAAAACAAATGTGGGACTTGAGTTGTAGCTCAGTGGACAGCTTATGCTGGCATGTTCAAGGCCCTGAGCTGGATCAGCAGCAGGAAGAGAAAGCAGCTAGGGCAAGAGAGACAGGGAACATGGGACTTAGCCAGGAGAAAGTGATGGAATGCAAAAAAGTAACTGGCAAAAATTCAGGCAAATATTTTCAAACTGTAAATAAAGAATAAGAAAATAACTAACAAATTCACACACACACACACACCCCACAGGCTCCATGGGCAGAAAAGAGAGCTATATGGGTAGGTGAGATTGTGAGTCATTTAGTATGGTTTGCTGCAATTTCAAATTTTTTTTTATGTAATTTGGAGACAAGTTAGACAGGCTATTTGAAAATGTCACATCATCTGGGCATTGTGGCCAGCGCTCAGACCTCAGAACTCAGGACACTGAGGCAGAAGGATCTTGAGTTCAAGACTAGTCTGAAATTCACTGTAAAATTCTCCTCAGAAAACCAAAACAACCCAACACAACCATGTAAAAAGGTTAAAACTAAAAGGGCATGTGTCAAAATAGTAGTAAGTTCCTATATGTCAAAAAAATTGAAAGTCTGAGTATATGAGGGCTAGACTGTCTAAAAAATACAAATGCTATGATTCATTCATAGTGGATTTTTGAATAGGTGGAAGACATCCTATATTCACTTTAAAACTTATGTATATTTATATAGTCTACTTCAAATATGAATAGGGTGATTATTTACTTATAGATGACAAGAATATATATTCCCTGTTTCTTTGCACTTTATCTTACAAATAATTAGCTGTCTGGCTGTAAGACGATCTCTATGATTATGGTTTTTAATTTCTCCAATTCTTTTTGGTTCTTCAAGGGAATGTAATAAAATCAAAACCTAGGATTTTAGATGGCTTCTCTGAGGTTAGCTGGATTGAACTGCTCCTGTAGCGTCGTCTGGATGTAGGCAAAGCAAAACTACAAACACAAAACAAAGGCCACCAACTCTGTTCACAGGACTCATGTCAGGGTTAAATGGCAGAGACACAAATTACAGTTTATCCTCGTGTTTCCAGTTGCCTGGCTGTGCCCATTTGGAATGTCTTTTCCTTCTAGACCTGTGCCTCTGTCACAGAGACTAAAAGACCACTACTAAAATATGAGGCCAACAGGCTACATAGATCTTTCATTCGCTTCTCTTTCTAATCTCTGGTTAGGAACTGCTTGGGTTCTCTACTCATTTTGTTACAAATCTTCTTGCAAAGTATTCCTAGCTTCTTCAACAGATTGTATATGCTTAATCTTCTTGACAAATTTCTAATCAGCTTTCTTTTTTTTTTAAGATTTATTTATTTATTTTGTATACAGTGTTCTGCCTGCACACTAGAAGAGAGCACTAAATCTTGTTATAGATGTTTGTGAGCCACCATGTGGTTACTGGGAATTGAAGTCAGGACCTCTGGAAGAGCAGCCAGTGAGCTTAACCTCTAAGCCATCTCTTCAAAACCTGAAATTACATTTTTTAATTCATTAATCCACCTAGACTTTGTTTTATGGAATAACAAGAAAGATAGATTCTGCTTCATCTATTATCTGCTGGATGATAACTATGTCAAGCACACTCCTTTTCCCTGCGTTACCTCAGGTCCACGTGTGAGCAGTATCTAACTGACTGACGGTCATCATCCTGACAGTTGCACACTGCCCAAAGCAGGAATGCTAACGTCTAATGAAGTCTTTGTCTCCCTGTCCTGATGGAAATATTCTACATAACTTGATCCTTTATTTCCTATACATTTAGAATCTGCTCATCAGTTTCTAAGAAGACATCTCATAGGATTGGTACTATACTGAATCTACCCCCAAACAGGTCAAAGTGACTGGGTTTGACATTTATTTCTTTATTTAGGTGTTTCTTAATATTATTTAATAAAATACTAACTTTTCCAACAGTTTTATACAATGTTGTTAGAGAGATTCCCAGAAAGTAATATTATATTACTATTATAAATATTTAAAATTTTTGATTCTGTGTATTAAAGTACAGAGGAATACAACTAGCTTTTATTTTTATACATTAATCCTATTTCACAATGTGTCTAAAGATGCTATGGAGAATTTGAAGTAAAGATATCATCTACATGTAACCACTGTTTGTTTTTTCTCATGAATTAGACAGGAACTTCATTTACCTGATAGGAAATCTATTAAAAGTCTACAGAAAATCAGATCTTAAATGGTTGATTACAGACTGAAAGGGTGAAAGCTGAAAGATCAGAGAAACAGAGCAGCCAGCCACTAGTTCTCACTTCCATGAAATCCCCAGCCTGAAAGAGCTCCTGTCTCCTCCTGCCTTATATTTTTTTCTCCACCCAACCATATCACTTCCTGTCTCAACCTCACTAATGCTGGGCTCAAAGGTGTGTGCCTCCACTGTCTACCTCTGTCTTTTAGACTGGATCAATCTTGTGTGGCCCAGGGTGGCCTTGAACTCCTGATATTCCTGCTTCCTCCTCCTTAGTGCTGGGATTCCTGCCTGGCCTCTATGGTTAACTAGTGGCTGGCTTTGCCCTCTGATCTTTAGGCAAGCTTTGTTTGTTAGAGCAAACACAAAATATCACCACACAGAGACATTTAAAACTCTATCCATTTTGAACTATCAAGATGGCTCAGCGGATAAAGGCCCTTGTCAGGAACTCTAACAAGCTTTTCGCCACGGATGAAGGCGGTTTCTGATTCTCACAAGCTGTCCTGTGACCTTCACACATACCTTAGGCATACACACACCTACACACACAAAATAAAAGTAAATTAAAACTGAAAAATATATACATTTAAATTTGTTTTGTGAAGCCATATATAACACAATACACTAAATGTATTTTATTGATGAAATAATATTATACGAAAGGAGATTATTTAGACATACTGAAATAAAAATGTTTCTAAAAAGTTTTAATATCAAAATAAAAAACACATAAGCATGGAGATACTGGGAACTTTCCAAAGGCAGTAAGAAAAGGCAGTTGACACATTTGTTAGGATTTAATATATGCACACTAGCCAAACAAAACACAAATAACCAAGCACACTACACTGTGCATATGAAGACATGCATTCAACACTACACATGCCATGTTTACCTGAATTACATGAACATAAGGCTTTATCTGGAAAACAATGTGGAAGTAATGTCAAAACACAAACTGATACTGGTACTGGCAGGAGAATTGTGGAAATCTCATCTCTAATTTATACTGCAGACAATAAAATTCAACATATTCAAAGTGTAAAACACTATACTAATTCAGACTCAAATAAACATGCATTATATATGAATGAAAATTAAAATTAAGTGAATAGAAAATCTGACTAAATTAAAGTATTAAAATAAGAGCAGAAACTAAAGAAGATACAGAAAATCAAAATCTAATTACAGCCTGCTTCACAGCGCTTCTGTCTGGTCCATGGTTACATCACATAAACTGAAATGCAAGTGATAACCACTAGACATGGAGGATTAAACAACTAGACAACTAAAATTGAAGGAACCATTGAAAAGTATTACTCATTTTTGAATTCTAGGTTTTAAAAATGGACAGTTACAGTTGATTTCCTTTTAAGAAAAGGCAAACATTCAAAAATCTTAAGGACTTTAACTTGAACATTTTAATATCATTTAAAGAAATGTATGAAAATCATTAAAAAGTAAAGGGATACAATTTGATTTTTTCTCTCTGTAATGTAATAATTGACACTTCTAATGGAGAGAATGTAACTTACTGTAGTATCAGTTCTTAAGAAGGCTTATTTTCTAACATGGAATTCAAGTATAAAAAGTACAATGTTAATTCTAAAGTCAGCAAATGAGCAAATAATTCCTAAGACTGATCTGTTCTGTTGGAAGCCTTCACTGTAGATGAATTACATAAAGTATTTTGAAGGCACAAAACAGAACTTTGGTATTCTGGCTACCATATAAGAAACCAGTTCGCTTTTATGTTTGTTTTGTTTCTTTGAGACAGGATTTCTCTCAGTAACAGCTCTGGCTGGCGTGGGACTCATTCTGTAGACCAGGCTGGCCTGGAACTCAGAGATCCATCTGCCTCTGCCTCCTGAGTGCTGGGATTAAAGGCGTGTGCTACCACGCCCAGCAAGAAACCATTTCTTAAGGACATCAGTGTAATCACAGAAAAAAACTAGTAGACTAACAGTTTCATAAATACTATAACATTTAGCAACATCATATTTCTATTACCTAAGAATAAACTGAATAAGACAGGTTAGGTTAGTATTAAAACAACAAACATAACAACGAAATCAGCACGAATTATAAATATCAGGCTTCACCAGTAGAGCCACTTTAATTATTAGATTTCAAACTCACCTTTCAACATTTTCATTTAAAATGTATGTAATACAGTCATCTATATAATTTTTAAATCTACTGATCTTCATATTAGGTTATGTGTTCTCACATATTTATTATCTAATTTTGTTTTCTCTATTTAATACAGCCCTGCTGCTTCTGTTTGGGCCTAACTAAAATGTGCATAGCTCCTATTAGTCTTTGATATCTCTAAACTACTCTTCAAAGCTCACATGGCCTAACAATTTTATGGTTTTTACCTCTCCGTTCCACAGTAGGTTACACACACATACAAAGAGAGGAAGAACAAGCGTAAGTATGACACTGTTATGAGCTGTTACGCTTGGTTTTTTAACCCATCTTTTTTTCTGCCATATTTTACTGGCTTTTTGTTTGTTTGTTTTTGTGTTTTCTTTTAGACAGAGTTTCTCTGTTTATGTAGCTTTGGCTGGCCTGGAACTCACTCTGAAGACCAGGATGGCTACAAACTCACAGAGGCCTGCCCATCTCTGCCTCCCGAGTCCTGGGATTAAAAGCCTGTGCCATCATACCCAGTTCCTCCATATTATAACGAGTCACTAAATCTTCAGTGGTTTTCTCTGGATCAAGGGCCTGTGTCTTTACACTTACATGCAAACTCTAGGTTTATTACCATGATAAGAGAACACTGTAAGGACTGAGGCTATGCAGGGAGGCACATGGGGAAAGAGGGTGCTCGAGAAGTAGGTATCTACAGGCACCACAGAGAGTCAAAATTCCCTACCATCTTAAAGACAAGGGATAAAAGGTTCTGTGATAACAAAGACTCAATCTCTGCAAAGTTCTAGGGTCCATCAATATTGTAGCATCACACAAAGTAAATCCAACATGCAGCTAGCTCCTATGGAATAAGCACCAGGGCAAGCAGCATTAGGAGAATTACTATGCTGAGACCTGGCTTAAGTAACTGACTACTGTACCTTGGGACATGGCAGTGAAGATCTATGTGGATAAAAATCTAGAAGGCAATTTTTGAATGTCATCTTTTCTTAGACTTACCAAACCTCTATTAAGAGGATTTTTAAAGGTATCTCAATATCATATTATGCTGTAAAACATTATTTGAAGATGTTTTACATTTGTTTATGCTGTGGAACATCTGCTTTAATGATGTAACATGTGTTGCATTCTTTTATGTTGCATTTGTTTAACTCTGTGAAGCTGTGTGATTGTGCCTGTCTAAAACATCTGATGGTCTAATAAAGAGCTGAACAGTCAATAGCAAGACAGGAGAAAGGACAGGTGGGGCTGGCAGGCAAAGAGGATACATAGAAGAAGAAATCTGGGAGAAGAAGAAGAATAAAAGAGCAAGAGAACAAGGAGAGGAGGATGCCAGGTGCTAGCTACCCAGCCACACAATCATCCAGAGTAAGCATGAAAGTAAATGGGATAATTTAAAGTACAGAAAAGCTGGCAAGAAAAAGCCAAGCTAAGGCCAGGCATGTATAATTAAGAATAAGTCTCCGTGTGTGATTTATTTGGGAGCTGGGTTGTGGGCCCCCCAAAACAGCAAAAACTATATATATATATATTCCTTTTTTCTTTTGCTTTGTGCCTTTCCTGGATCTCACTCTGTAGCCCAGGCTGGCCTCGAACTCACAAAGATCCACCTGGCTCTGCCTCCCGAATACTGAGATTAAAGGCGTGCACGACCACCACCACCCTGTCTAGATATAATTTTTTAAACAGTGTACATCACATAAAGGTGGTGAAAGAGTTATGAAGCCTACCTAAATCGTGTGTCTTGGGTAAGTCACAGTATCAAGTCCCATAAGCTTGACAAGTACTTAATGTTGATGCAATTAAAATAAGAAATATTTCAAAAACAAAAGGGCAACATATGACAAACTAAAAATGAGAAACACATGGCATATATTAAATATATAAGAAATTTTAGTATAAATACACAAATTACCAGAGTTTTGTCAGAAAGGACTTAAGAAAAATTACTGTAGCGCTTGGATAGGGGAGTGACCATGGAGGAATTTAAGAGTTGCAAACCTATTCATAACTGCACCAACTGAAGCCGGTAGAGATTCTTCTCCAACTATATAAGAAAGAGCACTGGCTGACATTAGCAGCCTGTACCCTTACATTATGTGAATTAGTGTATAGTGAACTGTATTACTAATCTGTACTCTGTGATTTAAGAATGTACTAAATAGGTTGCATTGGTCAGAAAGAATAGACAATTTCATTGTAATAATATTGTTATTATTCCAACAGAGCAGGTTGTAACAGCACTTACAAATAGGGATGCATGAGTGTTTATGGTCTCATGAGGTTAGAAAAGAACAACAGAAGTCACTTCTAATTAATTGTATCTGGGTATCTGGTAGAATGTTTAGTGAAAATAAAATTCTAATCATTAGAGAGAATTAACTTTTTTAAAGAATAAAGATGATCCCCTAGGCTTTCCTGTGACTCTCATAGGACCTATCTTTTAATTTTATACATATCAATACTTTGCAATTTCTAATTCAGCACCTATTCAGCAGAAAGGAGGTGATCCATCTGAAACCAGCTGTTACCGCCAGGCATATTCCTCATACTCAACAAGTAACATCATGGTATTTTCTTACAACTGGACACGTGTGAAATTTCACTGATGCCAGTGATCCAACACCTGACAGAAATGTAGTAAACCAGAACCCTGGTAACCACATGAAGAGCACACACCTTATGGCAGCAAGATCAGTAAGTATTCACCTTATTCCTCTATCACTTAATTGTCAGAAAGAAACAAAATTAACCTTAAGATCTGTAAGTAGTGGAGCAAAGCTAGTAGTAGCATTTTTTAATCTGGAAAACGCTACTAAACTGTGCAAAACTATCATAAAATGGCCTGATAAAACTGCTAGAGCAAGAACACACAGGGTTGTATTTGAAATTAATCAATCCTGTTTGTATATGTGTGTGTAATATGTTTGTATGCACATGTATGGGTGGCTATAGAGGCAATGTGTGCATGTGTGTGGAGGCCAGAAAGCTCTCTCTTTCCTCTCTTTTTAGAGACATGATCTCTCCCTGAATCTGGTGCTCGCCAAGAGGGCTTGGAGGATTGTTCAGTGAACCTCAGCGATCTGCCTGTCTTGGCTTTCCCCGAGCAGGAGCCTGGAACTACAAATGTGTGCCAGCTGCTCGAGTGGTCGCTAGGAATTTCAAGTTGTGTCCTTAGGTTTGCACAACACTTTACTGACAGAAAGCTCCCCAGGCTCTAAATTTAAAGAACACTTATAGCCATACCATGAGGTAAGTAATGTAATTTCCATTTGAGAAAGGAGAAAATCTAAGAAAGATCATCTGGCTGAAGTCACTCACTTATAAAGCGGAAAAAAAATTCAACTTAAAATGTGAAATGTAATTTCAACCACTATGTTATAGTTATAATTTTAGGTATTCATAAAATATTTGAGATATTTATAGATATATGCAAACTTTTAGGTATATGCAGCTACATGACCAAGTTCTATATTAGCTATCACATTCCTATATTTAACAGTCTAAATACTAATACCCCAAAATAGTTATGTTTCTTTGATGTTATATCATATCACATGCAACCAAAACGATTTTTATATTGTGAATATGAATGCTATAGGTGTTACTTGATGTTACTGTTTTAAATTATTAAAAAGCATCAATAGTATCCATGAAAACACTAACAAATGCTTATTAGCACCTATAATGCAGTTTTCAAATTCTGTCAGATGTACAATCACGATTAGAAACATTCAATGAAAGTATGATAAAGTTTGCCAAACTTACTTTGTAACCTGCGTGTTGGGCTCTCTCCATGGAGCTGTCTTCGTGGCAAATATGGAGAGGGGTGAGGGAGGGGCAAGGAAGAGACGTCATGGGTCTGCAGTTTGTACCAATGTGGTTCATCATCCAACAGAGCTGTTTCCAATTCTATTAAAATCTAGAACCCGAAGACATGGAGACCTATTTTTCCAACAATAATCTCTTCAATTGTCTGATAACTTTTATAATATTATCACAGTAATGCTGTTACAACAAAGCAAGGACATTTAATGTGGCCAAACTGTCAGCACGTTCTGATAGTAACTAAATGAGAACTAATTTTCCTAACATTTTAGTGATTTTATACTTCAAACAGTGACATTTATTATCTATACCATGACCATCCAATTACATGGATATTAAGTTTGCCATGACATAAATAGCAAATTTTACTTTTAAAATGTCTATGATAACTAATTTTTATCTTTTATTTTATAACTCAAAAGCATTTTCATTTATAGTTACTAGTATAATAACTTCATAATAACCAATGAGAAAAAAATTAATTTAAAGTATCTATTAACAACAAATCATACCACATTATTCATCTTTATTATGAATAAAAAATTACTATCTTTGCCTTATAGGACAGGATGCCAAAGCTAAAAAAGGCTAAATGACTTGTGTCTAGGGTCAGATAAGCTTGTAACGAGATAAAATAAATCAAGTTTCTTTCTTAACTCTTGATGTTCACTGAACCATACTGCTGCCAATTCAAATCCAAAACATCACACCACCAGGCCTCTAATACTGTACAACTGCTGTATGTCATTCAGAAACAAACAGGGAAAGGCACAAGAAGGTATAATATGAATTTTTTAATTATAAAAGAAATTAGAATTCGCTTTCCTTCAGATTGATGTGCAAGTGTGGCAGATTTACAAACATAAGTAGGTCTACCATGCAAAGATGAACTGATGAGCACCAGTGCGACTCAGCTGCAGATGAATAAGCAGAAGCTGTCACTTCGCAAGGTCTAAGTGGTCCCTGTCCTCTTTCAGTACAAGAGGAACTGTGCTACAAGAGTTAACACATACTACACTTACTTACTCCTCCTACTAAACTGACCTGCATACTAGCATTATTTCCACTTAGTGAAAGAGGGGATTAAAGCAGGGACAGATGGACTTGTTGGACACACAGATTGGAAGTGATAGTACCAGAAATGGTCAAGGGCCATCGGCCAGAGCTACTGTTCCCAAGAACCCTCCAAATGATTCATAGGTTTCTAACTTTGTGTGTGAGTGAGTGAGTGTGTGTGCGTGCGTGCGTGCGTGCGTGCGTGCGTGTGTGTGTGTGTGTTTGGTTTTTGTTTTATAAAGACGAGGTTTCTCTGGAACTAGCTATGTGGACCAGGCTACCTCTGCAGATTGTTCTGCCTCTGCCTCCTGAGTGCTGGGATTAAAGATGTGTGTCACTATCACCCAGCAAGTGAGCACTATCTTTATTTGGTACAAAGAGAAGTTTCTTTATACCCCTCTCTATGAAAAGTCATGGCAAGTGCTGGGATTAAAGGTGTATGCACCCACTACCCAGTAAGGTTTATACCTCTTTAGGAGACATAATTCAGTTCGTATGTCTATGTCTTTATTTTACCCATGAAATTATCCCTTCATTTAGTCAGGAAAACTAGGTGGAATAAATAAAACTGCAGTGAAGAGCTGACTGTTCTCAGTGTTACGTGCAAATGCTAGAACCACTTCCCTCTTAGGCCTCTTCAATCTGTTTTCCACATTACCCCTGCAAATGTTATTCTCAACTCCTAATTTAGACAATCTTTGCTTAAACCTTTCACTAGTTCCCATTATTCACAGGATGGATCCTAATAGGGACCACTTTCTGGGGTTCTTTTGACCTTGAAGCTGCATTTCTTACCACTTTCCTTGCCAATTTGAGGCAGGGACTTAAACTCCTCAACCCTGATGCCTTCTTACTTTCTCTGCAGAAATCTGTTTTTATTGGTACTTCTTTCGACTGTTTCAGTCCACAACAGCAATTATATATTCCTACTACTTATTCCTGGTCATTGCAATATCTGAATCCACAATGAGCTACCAATTTTTGAGGTAAGCCTATAAAAAAATGTCTAATACACTGTATGGTTTACACTGTAATCCGTTAATAAATGAATAACTAGCCTAATAAAATACCAAGAAGTAGAAAAGACTATACAAGACAACAAGATTTGCATCAAGTCATCATACATGAAGACACACCCCTGACCCCGCCGCCGCCGCCGCCGCTTATTATTATGGGGTTTTCTTTGCTCGTTTTCCTCCTAGTTTTGGTTTTGCAACAGAACCTCACTCTGATGCCTACACTATACATGAACTCTTGAATCAAATGATCACTTTCCCTAGGAGCTGGGACAATAGGCTTACATTACTACTTACACATCCAGTTTTGCTCAGAGGTTTTAGAAACATTGTTTTCTTTAGTGTCACTACAGTTCATCTTCAAGCATTAATTCATTCTGCTAGCACATTAACAAACTATGCACATCTTCTTCAGACATTTAAAATCCGGAGTATTCTATGAGTCCTAACAACAGAACGGGCAGAGAAGCTTTAGACTGAACTACTTGAGGTACCTCTCCTAGGAATTCACTCTCTTCTTCGCGAACTCTAGCTTGATCCCAAAGGGTGATTTCAAGCATCCGTTCCCGGAATTCTCTTCGGTGGACAGGAGAGTAAATGAAGGTCTGGTTCCATTTGGGTTCCAATGTTTTCTTTACTGTTTTTGTTCTTCTCTTGTTTTTATCACTATTTTAATAAAAAGAAAACATGCAAACTTACATACAAAGATTTTACTCTAAATTTAATCCAGTTAAAATTTCAAGTGAAATCTTACTACATATGTCATATTACAGTAATGTAAACTTTTAGTTTGTTAGATAATGATACAATTGCATCATCTCTGTAACTTAGTAAGAGCAACAGCTCAAATAAACCCTCTATTCACGTAAGCTACAGAAGTTTAATTATAAAAAAACAAATTCCAATGTTTACTTCATATACAAATACAAGCAACTGTATTACATATTTTATGAAGTAACTTTATCTCAAATAAATACCATTTGCTTATTTGACAAAAAACAAAAACATGTCTTTAGACACACAGAATACAGTTTCTCTGCAAGGTAGCCCAAGTGATGTATGATGGAAATAAGAGGTAATTATCTTGATGGACAGGCCTATCGCTAGGAGCCTCTCATACTTACTTTGATGGACTATCGCTAGTTAGAAAATATTTTAAATTATATAGCTCATTACATGCCTATATTATAAATATCATTAATAAGTTACAAACATGAATTATAATATTATGTCATTAGTTACAGCAAAATATACTAAAATAGAAAATTAAAAATTCTTTAAGTTTAAAGAAGTTAATTAACTCTACTTAGAACTGAAGTAAGAAGGAAGCTAGAAGAATATACTATAAGCTTCACTGAAGAGATGAAAAACCCAAGTCTCCCATTACTAAGGAACCTCTCTAATGAGCAGAACAGGACTGCTTCCCGAAGTCCCTCACAAAAACACCACACCAAAGCAGAGGCTCTGCAACCTCCACCTCCACCTCCAAAAGAACTGTGATAAGAACCTCGTTTTCAACAGGCACAAAGAAAGAGGTTTTGTTTTCTTAAAAGGGTCACTGAAACTATTCAAGTGCCATCATGGAATTTAAGTCAAACAGTACAAAGGGAATAACTGTACCTAATAAAGACTCATCTGTGGAGATGTATTTTAAATAGATTGCTAAAAATAAAAACAAATCCCTAATCACTAAATTATTAACAATACAGTAAACATTTGTTCAATAAAATCTAATCAAAACTTTATTTTCATGCTAGTACTTTTTGCCTTTGGTTTAACTTAAAGCAGCAATCAAAAATTTGACATTTATATTCAAAATTTAAAAAGGAATAGAATAAATATATTTGTGGCCATACCCAAATTCACCTCAAAATATTACTTTTATCAAATATGGTACATTAAATAGAAAATAGTTTTGACTAACATAGTTGAGATTTTAGAGCAGATATATGTTTTATACCTCAAGGACACTCTGGGAAGTCTTATCAACTAGATATCAATTGTTATTTCATATATTCAAGAATTTTTTCCTGAAAAATTATCAGGAAAAGGTAAATTAATAGCTAATGTTCATTGTCTTACTTCTGTGTAAAAACCGGGTCCTGAAAAAAAGCTGAGATGATGGTGTGACTTTCAGAGTACTGCAAAAAATTCTCTCCTACTAGAGGTAAAAATCCTAAAATAACCATTCACCAATGTAAGCTTGAAAAGTACACAACTGTTCACAAACACTTGCTATCTGACAAATAATGTGGCTGAGAAATGACCTGAATAAAAAGTTCAGATAGCTCTCACATTCTTTGAGGTTAAAAAAAAAAAAAAAATTGAACACTGTGCGGTGGTTTGGAAAGAAATGGTCCCAAAGACCTCTTAGGAGGTGTGGCCTTGTTGGAGGACGTGTGTCACTATGGGGGTGGGCTTTGAGGTCTCTTTGGCTCAAGCTTCACTCAGTGTGACAGTCAGTCAACTTCCTGTTGCCTCGGAATCAAGATGCAGCACTCTCAGCTCCAGCACCATGTCTGCCTGCAGGCTGCCATGCTCCCCGCCATGATGATAATGGACTGAACCTCTGAAACTGTAAGTGAGCCCCCTTGATTAAATGTTTTCCTTTATAAGAATTGCCATGGTCATGGTGTCTCTTCATAGCAATAAAGACCTAAGTAAGACACACTGTACCTCTGATAAAAAGGACAACGTAAGGAGAGATGTTTTCATTAACCCCACTGCCTGAAAAAGCAAGGACTATTTGGCAAATTAATATAAAACTAAATAATACAAGTTAATCAAGAAAAAGATGCCATAAACTTTCAGTATCTTAAAAAAAAATGTGGTCAGCTGGTATGGCTTAGTGGGTTATGGCATGTGCTGCTCTCCTTGCCTGACAATGGAAATAAATCCTCAGGACCTACAAGAAGGAGGGAGAGAACTGACTCTCACAAAATGTCCTCTGACTTTCATGTGAATGCTATGGCATGTGCACAACACACACACACACGCACACACACACACACACACACACACACACACACACACACACAAATAATAATGTAATTTAAAAATATTTTTTCTTCAAAAGTATGAATGGTTGAAACCTAAGTAGCTTAAGGATAAGGCAGGGTTAAGAATGCAGTGTTTGGGCCAGGTGACGGCGGTGGCGCACGCCTTTAATCCCAGTACTGGGGAGGCAGAGCCAGGTGGATCTCTGTGAGTTTGAGACCAGCCTGATCTAGAGAGCAAGATCCAGGACAGGAACCAAAACTACACAGAGAAACCCTGTCTCGAAAAACCAAAAAAAAAAAAAAGCAGTATTTGATATCTACCATTCAGTTGAAATTTAGGTTCTATATGGCCACTCCAATTATGGCTAAATTTTTTCTTTCATACATTTCAGTATGTGGCTCTGGACAAAAAAGATAATCTAAAGTGTCAGAAACAGTAAGTTTTTTCAAGTTAATTTTAAAGCAAAATATTAATTTTAAGAAGTTTCCAATAAATCTAAATATTGTGAAATATTAACAAATTCTGAAATTTGTTTTACAAATTTCTCTTTAAAAATGTATCAGGTAAAATGCAATTGCTAATTGCTTATATTATCTTTTTCTTTGCTATCATTACTCAGGTGATGCTCAAACACTATAAACCTTGTCTTTAGAGCAGGGCATACAAACCTTTTTTAGCCTTCCCTCCTTGTATAACATTATGTTTTAATCCCCTATATTCAGTAAACCCTCTGTTTACTCAAAAGCTCAGCTGCATTCCAGGAATCTGATGGCCTGAAGCAATGATTCTTTTCTGTCTGGAGCAATACCCCTCTTCCCTCCCTCCGTCCCTCCGTCCCTCCCTTCCTTCCTTTCCAGTGTGCCAATTCTTTTCAGAGTAGCCAAATGAATAAGACTGTGAGGTCTGTCCCCAGCCAATGAGGAAAGGCATGGTCGCCTCAAGAATGGGATTAAAAACCAAGTTTACTTCCTGCCTCAGTGTGCTCCCTCTTTAGAGTCCTCTGGATCAAGAGTTAAATGTGCCTTCTCCAAACTCTAAAATTGGTGTAGTGGTCTCTTTGTGAACTTAAACTTAATACTAACAAGCATACAACTCAACTTTGATGAACTTTCTGCTTAAAACAGTTAAGGACATTAAGGACCAAAGGTCTGCAAACAAACTGAACATGAATGTGTTCAGAGCCACTTCCAACCACAGAAAAATGACTCAGACTTGAGAGCACAGTGCCCTGAAGACAGACAGTCAGACAGAGAGGTAGGGAAAATGTCCTCCCTCTTTCCTCATTCATGATTCTTGCTGGAGTCCCTTCTAGTTTGATACGCCTGCAATTAAGACTGATTAGATTACTTTTGAGGAAGTATTTCTCCAGTTTTAAATCCCTTTAAAATCTGGATAGACCAAAAACACTGATGACAAAAATTGAAATACCGTGCTTGAAGGAGGTGATTATGGGCCAGTGGCAGTTGGACATAAGTGATAACCACAAATCATACTTGTTAATTTTATGAAATGTAGTAAAACAACAATAATATGGTCAAGAGGTCTGGATGTGAAAAGTGGAGAAGAATATGAAAACCATTCAGTTCCAGTTCCAACTTTGTTTACTATACAGTCTATTAAAATCTCTTATTTTAAAAAATAAATTTTAATAATTTGGGCATAGAAACATATACTACTTAAGAAATACAATGTGCATTTAAATAAACTCATATATAGTAAATGCAAAGTTTTAAAATAACCTCAAATACTTCCTGTCACTTTCTGATAATTAGAATGATCATATTTATAAAATCTCACAACTATCTGACTGCTATGTTACAAAATGATGAATGATAGAGAACTGAAACATTCTTTGTTTTCCCACTTATTTTTAAGAGCGCATTTGTTTTAGTTTCAAATGCTTACCTTCTGTCTGGAAGAAAGTAAATTTTAACGTAAGGATTCCTTGGCCTCCCGTCTTCCCTGGAAGGGAGATCCTTTGCTCCCAAGATTGTAACTATCAACTGGTGACCAACCTTGTCAAACCATAGCTTTATCTGAAAAGCAAAAGCATTTATTATTAGCTCAAAATTTACTTCAAATACATGTTTATATTTCCAATCTTTATACCATTCTCTAGCACTAATATTAAGAGAGATGACATTTTCCCCAGTAAACTCTTATTAAAATAAAAGGATATACTATAATAACTTCAATGAATAAATGAATTAATTCTGATGTTTTAGTTTCATTGATAAATCAGTTGGATTTTTACTATCCAAATGCAGTGGCTTATTAATGAACATATAATAATTATACTATTGCATACTTTGTATACAATAATTCTATATCTTCATGTAAGAGTCACTATGGTCTATTCAATTATGAGTGGTAAATAACTGTTCTAAATGTGGACAGGAACAAGTAGGTGGTTTTCAGAGAAATTTTCAAGCAAATGTGCTGTGTCTCCATAGTAAAACACATTTCAGAGGATGGAAGAAGGCTTACTAGTAGCCTGAATAGATAGATTCCTTAAGGTTTTGTGTGAAACGATAATAAATTCACCTTTAAAAATTTTTAGAGGCATAGTTTCTTCTTCAATGAAGAAAATGCATAGCATCCTTAAAATAGACAAGTTTCACTTTAAAATTTTAAATAAGAAGATGTATATAATTTTGCTGTATCATAATTAGGGTTTGTCATTCCATGTCATCCTGCTCCTGAATTGTTTTAACTTAACAGTTATCGTCTCCCATAACTTCACGCTTTCGCTCCTCGCTCACTGAGTATTCTATCTGGATCTATACAGAGATGTGCATTGCCTAGGATGCAGCATCTCTTGCCACCAGTTAAAAAATGAAATGGAACCAAAAATCTGGAACTTGAGAATCACAAATTTTAGTTATACACAAACCACAGCAGTCCAGTTCCAATTCATCATGGCTTTGGTTGGGTCCCTCTGTATATATTCCAGAAAATCAAAGCTGACTAACTTCTGAGTCAGAAGAGATGATTGACAGCTTAAAATAATATATAAGGTGATTTCTGCTCTTTCCACATCAGGGTTAAAACAGACGAGCCCTCTTATAGGAGTAAGAACAAGAGATAGCCAAATGTTAAAAGTATCTATTACTAGTTTTCATGTTTTTTTGTCTTGAATTTTAAAGCAGTTTTATCTGGCTATTGTATAACAAAAATTTTCTACCAGTTAAAAAGTTCTAAAATAGAATTCCAACAAGATTTTCTCACGCTGTATTTAATAAATATCCGATAAGTACTCTTATCTATCATATTAGAAAGTTACAAATTTCAAGGCTACCTATTCACCTACAAATTAAAACGAGAGCTTAAGAGTTTTAAGAATGACAGCATTCATTCTAAGGATCCAGGACCACCCCTACCCCAAGAAAAGCAGATCTAATGGCTGGACACAGTGAAACATGCAGAAACACCAGCTCCTGGAGATCAGAGGAGGACAGTGGCAAACCTACACACCCAAGGCTAATCTGGCTATCCAGCAAAACCCTGTCTCAAACAAGAAATGAAACAACCAAAAACTGAAAGGAGGGGCTGGGGACTGACTTGAAAACTTGAAAGGAAAAAACTTAAAAATTTGTGTGCTTAGCAATATTAGACTACAGATATAGATACAGATAAGTCAATAGAGAGAATAGGCTATTCCTTTCACAAAAGCTAAGAGAAAAAAATAAATGAATTTCAAATGTTTGATTTTTCATGGGATGAAGGAAATGTACACAGACTCACAGTATTCTAAAACCTGTGATGAAGGTCATATTAATTTAAATATTTTCCACTTTCACCAATAACAGCAATTTTTACAAGTTTAATTTTTTTTCCATTAACTATCATCTTCAAATTTCCATATAAAGCCAACCACTATCACTTACCACTATTTCTTTTGAAAACATATATTAGCTTTATTGTTTTCATACTGTTGCAACAGTACGATACTCTTAACTAAAATATACTGTCCAAATATATGAGTATTACTACTACTAAGTAAGAACCTATCCCATTACACCTGATCAAAACGGGACTTTTTCAGAAATTGTCTTGAACTGGGCGCTTACTAACAGCCCTAATTCCAATTGAATTACAGAGTGTGCATTGAAGTTTTAATAGATATCCAGATCAAACAGGATTTTATTATCCATGCTACTTAACACATTCTTGAGCATGTGTTTTAAAAGTAATGTTTAAAACATAACTTATTTGTTTCCTAAAATGTAACAATTATAGCCTCATAATTCTATCCTTGACAAGCCTTAGTTCAATTAATTTAATAAAAATCTTGGTATCATTTTAATTGTTTAATATGACTATCCTCTTAGCTTTACCATGTAACCAATTTAAATTGTTCACAATAGAAATTTAACATCAAACAAATATTTTATATTATAGAATTAATTAAATATAACTAATATTTTAATTACTTAAAAGAATTATCCAAAGCCAACATTTTTTAAACATGCAACAAAGCAGGGGAGGCACACTACCACTTTTAAGATGACTACGCTGGCATCACCATGCCAGAGACACAGGGTCCTACTGAAAAGAGGCAAACAGCTTGTACCTGAGAGTGCATAAAAGCAATGGGGTGATAAAATACAAACAACATAATATAGTTATACCATTTGGATTGTGATTTTTTTTTGTTCTTTCAAACTCCAAAAGTTGATTCATATATAACAAACAAAAAATCATATTTTTAAATAAGGTACAAATATATTTGCCAATCTCCTCAAGGAGTCATTGCTTGGAAAATGCAAGAGAATGTGGATGTGATGTGGTATAATGAATGATTTAAAGAGACAGCAACCTTTGTGTAATAAAAGAAAATAATCTAGAGTTTTAAAATTAGCTATTTCAGTAAATGTTACAGTGATAAGCAAAGTCTCCATCAAAATAAAATTAGAATGCAACTCTGAAACCTATATATTTGAGTACTTCAATAACTTACAAGATAAATAACAATGATTGTCTCTTTAAATTTGTATTCAATATTCTAATCTCCATGCAGAATTTTACAAGCTGCCTTATAAAATGATTTGGAAGTCAATAGTATGATTTGGAGCAACATACCAAAAAAAGTGTTCCTACTACGCATTTTCCAAAAACATACAAATAAGGGATAAAACACAACTTTAGTTTCTATCAGGCAGACAAAGTCTTTACCTGAACCCTAGGAACAAAAGGCGTTGTTCTTCTACTAAGGCTTTGGCTCTGGTAAGCAAAATTAAAGAAAAAAGCAATAAAACAAAACCAAAAAGGACAATATGCTGGAACTAAACGACCAAAAGTAAAAATAAACACATAAAACTGCCCCTTAAATACAATGTTTCCATGGCAACATATTTAAATTAAGTACTCATTATAAGAAATATGTATTTCCCAATGCTAAAATATTCAACCTATTCAAAACTTTATAAAATTATTATAATTTGTTGAATCATATTCTTAAAATATAGTCAATATATTAGGAAATAGGACTGAATATAGAAGAATATAGTCAGGATAATATAATTTTAAAGTATGATTAGAGTATAACCCCCAAATCAAGAAATTTAAAACATTACCCTTAAACATACTACAGCCTGTGATATCCATGGGTAACTGGTCCCAGGGTACTCACAAATACCAAATCCACCAATGTTCAAATCCTTTATGTAAAATGGCATAGTACATGCACAAAACTAACAGGATCTCTAATGCTTTTAATCATCTCTAGATGGTAAATGCTAATTTATAATATCAAATATAATGGAATAATAAATAAATAAATAAAAAAATTGATCCACAATTGTGTAAGTGTATGGCTATGAAACCTTTTAAAGTGGAAGTCTAATTGTACATAGATTAAAATACAGTCACACATGGTGGGGGTAGGTACTGGATCAACTGCTTGATACATTGCTTGAGATGCTGTTAACTTCCAGTCATGCCTCCTAACAACACGATTGCATTGCTATTTTATTTACAGCGTACTTTGTAGTTCCTGACAGCTTAGGGCATGTTCACTGCCTCCTGATATTCCCAACAGCTTTGGGGGTTAACTACGCTTATCCCCAGAACACAAGTGAAGAAAAATACCCAAAAAGGTCTAGATGAACTTCTAAATGCTCAAAGCGTAGTATGATATAAACAAAGTTCTCAGAAAAAAAAATTAAAAACATCAAATTTCTCTACTGAATTTCTTAAGCTTTTATTTTAAGACCATTTCCAGTCTTAATAGAAACAAATCATAATAACCTAATTCAGTTATGCCAATCAAGATCAAGAGTGCAATCAGAGGCCCATCAAAGAATGGATTTAAGGATACTCAACAGGATTCCATGGCCCCTTCACATCTGCTGTGGATAGTGAAGGGCTGCCTCCCATCTTTCCCACTGTTAGGGAAACTGGGATGAATAACGGGAGGGCTTTTGCCCAGGTCTGGATCACTGGACAGGCATTATATTTAAGTAAGAAACAAATCTAAAAGCCAAAGGAAAACAACCTTCATAGCACATTGTTGGTCAACAGAAGTCACCTTTCTTTCTCTCCAAAAACCCAAGTATCAAGTCTGAGTTTTCTTCCTTTTCAAATGGAGATATGCCCCAAAGAAGAAGTGCTCAGATACAGGATGAGGTGACATGTCTGTTTGCATAAATCTGCATGGACAATAAGCAGGAGAGGAGGGTGTGAAGTTTTCACATATCAACCAGAGGTGCTGAAGGGACAAGGAATTCTAGAGATTTCATTTTCCTTGTTCCTATCTCCATGTTTTAAATAAAATATATCAAGAAAAGGAAATATTTTGTAAACATATATTACTTCATAAAATAAAGGGTCTCTTTAAAAAAGAATATTTTCAAAAAACGAATCCTTTATAGTGAACAGTTTAACATCACCTAAAAGAAGCAGCTATCAGATTCCTAAAAATGAACATTTTTTTAATCCTTGTTTATACATTAAAGGTGACTACAAAATATATTTGTTCTTAGGTGGAATTTTTAAATGACGTAAAATATACAAAACATACAATTAACCGTTTAAGGCTTAAAGTTCAGCAGCACTGCTGCACTGGAAAGTTGTGGATTCTCATTTTCCATCCTTTCAACCTTCGCCATGACCCCAGAAAAACACTCCATACCCCACAATCCCTCTAAGGCTCTCTCCACTGGGGCAGGCTATGCTACAGACCCTGGGGACGGTATGCAGGGAGGATTTTCTCAATCAGACAAACGAAGAGGTGAAACTTCACACCATAATCTAGCTGTGATGTCCAAGGTCACTCTACTATTCCTTGTAATATGACCCTTAGGACATGCTTTCTGTGCAGTGCGCCTAGAATGTTGAAGTTATGAGAATAAAGTATTACAAAGTTAAAAGTCCAAATACAAAATCTGCAAGGGATGGTAGGGCACACCATAAGTTCCAGCACACAATGGAAAGGCAGAGGCAGGAGTTTGTTAGTTTTAGCCCAACATGCCATGTGTTCCAGGCCAGTAAGGGCTACATAGTGATACACTGTGTCAAATTTAAAAAAAATAAAAAATAAAAAGGAAAGGAAAAGAAAAGAAAGGAAAGACAGAGAGAGAGAAACCAACAGCTTCATAAATACAGTATTCTGAAATGTTCTGGGGTTCCATAAAGGGAGATATGAAAGACATACCAATATTCTAAAATTACTCAAATCTCTAAAATGTGCAAATAAAATTGATATTTGAAATATTTAGTAAAAATTGCAAAAATGTTAAGATAAAGTAACTTTGCAACTATAAATCATAGACAATATAATAAATATATAATTATCAGTAGAATCAAAAGTGTAATATTGATTTCACTAATAGAAAAATATTAATAATTCTGAACCTTTCTCACCTAGAAAAAGAATAAGAAGTATTTTAGCCTAATAGCCTATCAAACTACTAGCTTAATAGGGTAAACAGATTTAAAATTATTCAGAATCACAAAAGTTGTCTGGCAAATGAAGAAACTGCTAACTTCAAAATAGTGAAAATAAGTGGGTGCGGCTGCTGAGTGGGCAAACTCGGGGTTCAGGAGGATAAACCTGATTGGACTCATTCTGATTTTCTTATCAAATACATTAATGGTCCTTTGTGGGGAAGTCCTAGAAAAATAAGAAGCCACAGGATTTAGCATGGAGAGAAAATTGATTACATACATCTTCTAAAAATTAATCATCATTGAGTATAAAATGCAAACAAGAAATGTCTACTATGTTTACTGTTTGAACAAATATCAGTAAATGAAATCACCTTAAATATGTGTAAATAATTTCTCTTCTCGGGCATTAGAAATGTCATGATTTTGTGAGGAAAGAAACCGAATTTCTCAAAGCAAAACGTCAAAGATAGAAGAAAACGGGGATGCACCTGTGCTGGGTAAAGCTAGGTGTCGGCTTGAGTGAATTGAGAATGATGATCTCGGTCACATCAGTTGAGGGAGAACCCATCTTAATGATGGGTGAGCCACTCCCTGGCCAAGGCCCTGGCCACTGAAGATGGAGAAAGTTCACATCATCTGTGCTTTCTGGTGGACATAATGTGACCAGCTGCTTCAAGTTCCTGAGGCCTGGCTTCCCTGCCATGACCAACACTACCGTGAACTGTGAGACAGAATACACCCTTTCTCCTTAAGCTGCTCTTATCATATTAATTAATCTGCCAACAGAAAAGAAGCTAAGAAAAAAAAGTACAGCTAAGACTTCCTGAGAGTTTTCCTAAGAAGTGATATAGATAGGCATATTTTAAACTCCTACATTATCATAGCAAACCAAAATGGCCTGTAGGTTAATAGAGATAGGAAGAGAGATGTGTAAGGAACCCAGGAGACCATCTTGCTTACATTGATCTCATACAAAGAATGTGAATGAAATTCAAGGTTATATAATAATAAAAGGCATTCTTTCTTGTTCATTTATATTCCTGGTGACTAGAACTACTATTTCTGTCAGAACTTAAATATGTGTGTGTGTGTGTATGTACACTTATATGTACATATATACATAAAATATATATAATAGTTGATTGATAGATTTCATGTAATTTTAATAGATTTTGTTTGTTTGTTTTTGTTTTTCGAGACAGGGTTTCTCCATGTAGTTTTGATGCCTGTCCTGGATCTTGCGCTGTAGACCAGGCTGTCCTTGAACTCACAGAAATCCACTGGCTCTGCCTCCCAAAGGCTGGGATTAAAGGCATGCACCACCACTGCCTGGTTGAGGTTTGTTTTTCTTTTTCTTTCTTTCTTTCTTTCTTTCTTTTTTTTTAATAATCTCTGGTTTACAGTTTAGCAAGTGTATTACAATTTTACTTCTAAAAAGTTTTCTTGACAAAGTAATTTTCCATAGTAAAAATAAGTAACATTAATATGTATCTATTTCAGTGGCATCATTACTAGTAATAATGTAAACTAGAAGTTAAGATAAAATGCAGTATATAGATATGAATATAGAAGTAAGAGGAATTGTTAAAGACAAGACAATGTCTATACAGTAATAGAGAAAAAGGAGAATTCAGGCCATATGTGCAGAACACATCTAGAATCCCAGAACTTCTTGGGGCAGAAGCTGGAGGAGCACCAATTTAATGTCAGCCTGGTCTACATATTGATTTTCAGTCCAGCCAGGACTACACAGCAAAATTCCAAATCAAAAATAAAGAAAGGAAAAAGAGAATGCAAAAGAATATGGAATTTAATTTTAAAAATACATGCATGTATTGTAAAAAGCCATATGTAGTGTCAGGATTATTACTGACTTTACTTTTTGTTTTTCTGCACTAACTAGATCTCTGATAATAAACAGGAATTATATTAATAATCCTTGTCTTGTTTGTATGTAAATTGAGTGTGCATCTGTGTATGGTTTCAAAATGTATACAATTAACATTTTAACTGAATTCATAGAGGAGTTCCCTTCCAAGCTATAACAAAATTATACTTTTCATAGTAAGCTACAATCACATGGGTTTTACATTACCTTCATAGCCTTAGCAGTCCGGTCTTATTGCCAGACTAATTTGGAATCAGGAGAACACCAGCTGAGTTGAAAACACTCCAAACCCTCCTCTGTATTTCCTACCTTTCCCCTCTAGCACAGTTCGTATAGGGTCTTGGAATTTGAAATGATATAACAAAGTAGAACTGTTACAGAGAAATAAGGCTACGAAAATATCAAATACTGCCTTTCCTTTAAAACTAAAAGGAGAAATTTTCAGCTATGTAATAAGAAAGCAATTCTAAGGAATTTAAAATGCAATTTCGTAATAGTTTGGGGTTTAACTGTCACAATTTTCAATCAATATTAAATTTCTGGGTTGTGAGGACTTAAACAGTTCTTTTTTTCGGTACTTAGGAAATTTCAAATTTAACAGTCACTAGCAAATTAACCATTACTATAGCAATAAATACAAATGTGCTCTAATGAAGGAATGATAATGTAATTAAAGGACTTAAATTTGCAAACCTATTGTAGTAAGAATATAATATAGAATATAGAATAAAACTTTTAACTTGCACTTGAAAATACATAAATCAATGCTCACATAATGAAGAGTTACCCAGTACACCAAAGTCTATTACATATATCCCTCATATTTAGTTTAGTCTGTTGATTAAAAAAAAAACTTCGATTCCTTATACATATGAACAATATTCAAGTCCATGAATTACTGTCCAAGTCACCTCAAATTCCCTTAAGATTGAAAAGCAAAGAAGAATACATGAATAATCGCTTTTACCTTAATACAATCTTTGTATGATATACCATTTTCCTCTCTCTTAAACAACTATAGCAACTCCCAGTCATTTTAAAACCATGAGTAAAACTCATCACCTCAACTTCTGAAATAATAATTAAGGTCAAAAAATAGGGTTATATATATTCATAAAAATCATTAAGCTCTATAAACCTAACATTAAAAGAAAGTATTTCAATAAATAGTACAAATGAAATTTTAAGTAACTACAAATTATCAAAAATGTAAAAGCTGATAGGTAAAGGCACCATTATGTTCTAGGAAGAACTTGGATTAGAAAAAAACAAAAAGAAAGAAAGAAAAACAAAAACCCCTAACATCATATTTTAAAAACATATTTAATATTCCCAAAGAGATGAATTTAGTGATTACATACTGAAAGCTGTCCAGACAAGAACTGCGGGACATCCCTCAGCATCCCAGGACTCATGGGAGAGGTAACAGATATAGAAGGACGATCCATTTTTTGAGATTCAAATGAGCTAGAACCTGAAATGACAAGCATACATAAAAAATAATAAAATGTCTTTTCACTACTTCAGAACACTCAGCATGTTTCATTGAAATGTCCTTTGAATGTCAACTTATAGAGAGCTTTTTATTGCTAGAATGTTAGCAATAATCTTAAGGAGTTTTTGGTGATGGTCTGCTTTGGTTTCAGACAGTAGTTTTTGTCATTGTTTAGTTTGGTTTTGTGTAAGTTCAATTGTGGATTCTTTTAAGACCCACAGGTACACCTCTGCTGACTGTAAGAGCCACAGGCTCTACTTCAGGGTATACTTGTCTATTATTAAGTGTACTATACTCAAACTTTATCATGAGGGAACATTAAAAATGAAAAAATTAGAAAAACCAAAACAATAAACCACCTCAAGAAAACTTAAATTTTAAATGTTGAGAAACTAAGTACTAGAATGCCCAAAATTAATAAATGTTTCTGGGTGATTTGTAGTTATATCTTGAAGGATATAAAATATTACACCAGCAAAATTGAAATGAGAGGTTATGAAAAAGATCAAGAACAGCAGCAGAAACAGCAATAACAAAATGTTACAAGCGTTAATTTGTTCCTATGCAGTTGAAGGAACCAGTTGGAATGTGAACAGATAGAGGATATTAAGGTGGAATTATTTGTACTAATAAGAGAAAAATGGTTTTGCCAGCTCCTTACAGCAAGGATTAGAATGAAGAGACACGAGATAGTAAAGAGCACTTGGACCTCAATGAGATAATAACACCAAAACTGTGAAAGGGAATTAGCAGAGGAATTCAGGAGATGCCATGAAGTAATGAGAATCACAGGCCTGAGGAAGTGGCTCAGTGGACACCACTCGCCAACTATGTATGATAGCCTAGGTTCAATCCTCAACTATGTGGGAGGGAAAAAAGAAAATAATAGATGTGAAAAATACAGAAAGTACTGAGATTCCAATTCTATTACCCAGACAAGAAAGTCCCCTGTGTACCAGTTATAGTCTCTGAAAAGGACAGTGGGCTGATGTGTGCTGAACAGGAGCGGAGGGCGGGGAGCAGAACTTCCTTTGGAACCACAGTGACCTTATAACACTTTTGAGATGTCCAAAAGCAATGTACAGCAAATAACATACAGATGGACTAATTGTGAGAGCAGACACAAGAGCTGTGTGCCTAGTTAGAAACGCACATGCATAACATTCACCTTTAGAGAGTGTATCATGTAAAGCTATTATAGGGGGAAATCTGGAAGTTTTGGATCAAAATAAAATAGCCTTTTCACAATATGTATAAGTAAAATAATGATGCTTTTGTAGGAATAATTTGTTAACTCACAAGGCTTACAAAGCACTAGACAACAGAAAAATTAGTAGAATGCACTCTTTAAGCAGCCATGGATGGAGACAATGACAGCACCTTTTAAACATATAGCATTGGCAGTTGCTTGGCTGGCAGTTAAAATGAGACAGAGCAAATAATCTGCAGATGTATCCAGAACAGAGACTTAAAGAATGGTCCCTTGGACAAATCTCTAAATGAATGTTTAAAGGATAAATGTTTGGAACCGCTTTGAATAAAGATTCTTGCCTGTCCAGAAAGTAGTTTACCAGCATAGCCTGAGGCTTTTTACACAATCATAATAAAATAAGGGTTTCCTATTACATTCATGGCATCTTACTGATGTAAGGGGAAAAACTTTGCCTGCCCCATAGTTTTTCATAGCTTAGTGATAATATAGCTACAACACCAAGCACATTTGCAAGTACTAAATAAAATGAAAGCAATGAAAATAGCACTATATAATTCTAATGTTTACTTATTGCAGTGTAGTTTTATTTGAGCAGGACCACCACCATATTGCCACTGTCATTGAATAAATTTAGAATGATTGACTGCATCCAATAATTATAATGATAGAATCAAAATATAACTACCCCTTTGAAAGTGTTTCCCAAGAGCTCCCGTATCCTCCACGGGAAAGTTTTGCTTTTTGGTTTTTCGAGACAGGGTTTCTCTGTGTAGTTTAAAGCTGTGCACCAGCACCACCCGGCCAGGGGACGTCCTTAGAGTGCTTTAAAGACTGCGATTTGGCTGCTGCTGTTCCAGCATCATCCTCTCTACTCCCCCCTTGCCAGCTCCATCCTGCCACCCGGTCCTCCCTGTATTTCTTTACATGTACCAGTCTTCCCTGCCTAGCTCTCCTGCACTCTCAGGTATCTGGACCTCTGTGCCTGTAAAGCTTCCCCGTAACCGCCACCCTCGGAGTGGAGGAAGGAGTTCTGGTCCAACCCCTTCCCAGGTTTGTCTTACCCCACTCAACGGTTTTCAAGGGCCGCCCTCACTGCTCTCCTAGTATCCCTTCAATCAAGAATCAGTCATCAGAAAACAAATCATAAAAATGTGTATCTGACTGTTTGAATTTATGTTTATTGTTGTTACTGCTGTGATATAAAATTAGAACTACTTAGTTTCAAAAAATATAAATTAGAATAAATAAAATTACTCAATAGCTTGTTCCAAGTATATCCTTTACCAAGACAGTGGAGTTACAAAGTTGAAAATTTAAATTTTGTAAGAAACTTCAGGGGTAGGTAGCTCTGGGGAATGATGGAAATGGTCATGGCTTTTCACTGTGATACATGGGTACACAAGTAGTCAAAACTTAACTGGACGCTTGTCATGCAGTTTATTAGAATAAGCCTTAGTAAAGCTACTTTAAAAAGTCCACAGTAATGATGGCAGAGGAAAAATAAAATACTGAGATTATTACAGTTTGTATTTTTTCAAACGGTGCTGTGAACTAATAGGAATCATTCTATCTTTATATAAAATTTAACGTTAGTATTTGAGAATGTCCTTTTTACTTCTCCTCCTCCATATGAAGAAATCAATTTCTTCGTTAGACCTTTGATGAACGGCATGCTTAGTGACATAGCCTAGAATAAATTCCACTCACTGGATTCCAGTTGTGCATGTGTGCTCTCGGGTATTCTAGGGATATCTCTGAAATGACAGAAAGGGAGAGAAAAGAACTATTAACAAGTGATGCCTCAATTTTAACCAAAATTACAAATTAAAGTGACATATGAAAACTAAGTGCAGCGGAAGCATATGAAATAAGACCAGCCACGATTTCTGTTTGTGTTTGGACAAGCTGGCCTAATCTTCCATGTAGGTGAAAATGGCCAGGAATTCGCCACAGAGTTCTGCCTCTTCCTTCTAAGTCTGGGATTACATTTTTGCAGCTAACTCTAACAGAAAGTAAAATCTATGTGCATTTGTAGCAGATTTATAAAAACACACTTTATTTCCTATGTGCTTTACTATATAAACATCTACTCTAAAAAATGCTTTGTATTCAATAAGGTTAAGTTTTTATAAACATGTTAATTCAATTCTCTATTTTTGCCTTTAGTTATAAATAAGTTATATACGAACTCAAATTAAATATCATTAAAACATTCCAGTTACAACTAAAATTTTAAAATGTAGTGGTTACATTGGTAACAGGCAAACATGATTCTTATGGGAACTTTCAAAGTTACCTTGTAACCATATTTACATCAAAAATACCTATAGTTATTTGATATAGGAGGGTCATTTATAAATATACATGAAGACTATAAATTATTTAGAATATTAAAATATGAGTACACTTTAACACTAAAAGAGATTTGATTAATACACTAAGCTGATACACTATGGTTTTACCATATTATCAAACTTTAAAAAGGCAAAAGGCTACCACCCATTATTTCCTAAGTGAATGAAAACAGGGCATGATCACAAGGAATAATTTCTATAGCCTCCATTCAAAGATGCTGCAAGCCATTCAGTGATTTAATAATTCATTCAATAGTTCACTGTCCAGTTATACATTCTTCTTATTTAATTTTGACACACCTTTTATATTATCACAGAATAACAGTTTCTGCAGAAGAAGGCCCTGTCAGACACTTCTAGAATAATTCTCATAGCTTAGATGGAAGGGCTAACTTTACTGCCTCCTTTGGGATCTATAAGCTACTGGCAATAAAATACAATGATAAAGTGTGCTTTAACATTGTCTATTTTATTATTAATCACTTTTTTAAAGAAATTACATTTCCTTAAGTAAGCCCTATATCTGGGAATTATATGCATTTTGGATCTCTCTTTTGTCAGCTAGAATCTCTATTAAAAAAAAAAAAAACAAAACACAAAACCTGTAAGCTATGTCTATTTCAGGGATTGGCATTTTCAGAGAGTACAAAACGAGTAAAACTTTTCCAAAAGTGTATGTTAAAGTGGTACCCTCCCTACTAGTGAGTGCAGCTCTACACTAGTTACTAAGATAACAACAATTTAAAAAAACTAAATATTTCTTCTTATTTATAATCACCAACCTATTTTACATAATCAGATAAAGAAAAATTACTAATTTTGGTCAAATGTTTTAATTAAATTAAAAAGATGTCTGTGAAAAAACTTATTTTCATAAAGTAGTCTGAAAATTTTGGACTGCAGAACACAAAGTGCTGAATAGCAGTCATCTTCACATACAAATGGATTTCTGAAACCAGGGCTGGAGCTATGGCTCGGTCTTAAGAGCACACACTGCTCATGCTGAGCACCAGTGCCTCCATATTGGTTTTCAACCATCCAATCAGACCCTCTCTCTGTCCTCTGGGTGCACCAAGCATGCATGCCATGCTCATACATACATTCAAACAAAACACGCATACACATAGACAAAAATAAATACATCTTCACAGTAAGTCAAAAGGAAATGACAAAGACTATCTTACCCAATTGGCCTTGATACAACAAGCTCAACCTGTGGTTCAGGTTTGGATTCTAGAATAATGTTGTAAACTTCCTCAAATGTGGCTCCTTGCAATAGGCGCCCATTCCATTCTAGTACTTCATCACCTGTGGTTCAGGAATAATCTTATCAACATAAGCCAAGTCCATCAAATATACTCAGTAAATTTCCTAATACATTCAGCCAAACAGAGTAACAGACCTATTGAAAAGAGCTCAATAGCACAGAACTTTAGAGCTAGACTAGCATATTTCATTTGAAAGGACGATGTCAGTAGAAATACACCACATAACAGTAAAACCCATTTGATCTTTAATAGTATACAATAATCAAGGTCAACTCTTTGAGGACTTCAAGATTCTCCTCTAGATTTGTAGGATATACATTGTTAATTAAGCACTGCTTCCTTATAGGAGCTTCAACTGCCTAAACTCTAAAATTTTTTGTAAAAAGCTAAGTGATTAATAGTAATATGAAATCTTCTTCTAAGAATTTAATGATTTCTCCAATAGGAATTGGAAAAATTTGACAAACGATATGGGAATGACATAATTTAGAAAATGTGCATTTACTGATGAAGTTTGTTTCCTAAACAATATAGGAATTTTTTTCAAAAAAAAGAATAAAGATTTTGGGGAAACAAAATAAGCTAATATATATCAGAGGCAGATTAGAATATCCATCAGTAATATAAAATATTTGAATTTGGGTGTACAGGGAAGTGGGAGAGAATCTAGAAGGAGTTGGAAGAGAGAAAGACGAAAATGATCAAAATACACTGTATAAAATTCTCAAAAAAAAAGCATTTTAAAAAGATATTATGTCTAGTATGACATAAGGAAAAAGAGTTAAAACTTTCCATTAAGGACTAAAGATTTTAACACACATGAAAGAAACAATTATTACTGGTCAAATCACTTACAAATGAGATTAATTTTTTCCTAACTATTTATGGCTAGCATTTTTCTTTTTGCACTGCTGGGATCCACCCGAAGCCGTGACAGGCAGGGCAAGCATCCTCTTCACCCCAACTGACCTTTGAACGTAAATATCCACTGGTAGGAACCTACCTGGTCTAAGATGTCCAACAGTATCAGCTAAACTTCCTTTTTTTACTTTGGTAATGAATGCACAAAGCCGACCTGATTCAGTCATCTTTCCTCCTACAACCTGTTTAAAGGAGGAAAGGATCAGAACTGTCATACTATCAAAGTAAGCACAGTCAAAGACTCCAGGAAAAACACCAGAACAATTTTCAGATTCCAAAACTATAATTTAATATACTAAATTTCATTTCTTAATATAGTGTTGTCATTTGAACGTAAGTGTCTGCATTAAGGAACGCATTTTATTGCAAATTTGTTATAATTTAATTTTCTTGTTAAAAACATACATCTCTTAGAAACAACAACAATTTCTTACTATAGAATTCTCATTTTTATTTCTCAAAACATTGGAGTACTTTTTAATTATATAAACATTTTAGGTATAAATTTTAAACATTCTAATACAAAAATTAAAATACTACATTTTCACTAATAATATTTTAGTTATATTGATAATATCCATAATGGCAATAGATCTTTCTTGAGAAAATTATAAAATTTAACTAACTTCATCAGAAATAATATAAACTTTAGATTAATTGAAGCCCAATTTTTCTCTTTTAATTTCTATTAAAATATTTATTTTAGAAAATGAAATATATATTGGAAACATGCATTAGGAATGCTGTAAAAATCGCTGTAAAATACCATACTCTTATGAAACTAACGCTTTGATTCTGGCTAGCTACTATTCAAGCAGGGCACATCAATTTCAAAGCAGGTGACGCCAACAATAGAGACTAACTTCACTAACTAGAGTCAATCAGTTTGTTCTCTTACAGGTGAGTGAAAGGTTACCGCAATTAAATGTTTCTGAGCTATCCTACCTTATTCCATGCATATATCCCCAATTACAGTGAGATATACTCAGTTACAATTCAGTCAGTACTAATTAATACTATGCTTAACTCTGAAGGTTAGACGTAAGTTTCTTGTAGCTTCACATCTTCATGAAAATATTTGTTGCTCAAGAAAATTTAACAACAGTAGCACTGTAATTATTAGTATAATTAGATGTCAGTGGTGGTTATTATAAAATTCAGACACCATAGCAGACATTGTACTAAATACTGTTTACTGCTTTATTGTATCTGAACAACTCACAGCACACGCTAATTCCCCACTGTGGAGACATATCTGATGCCATGAGAAGTTGACTTTTCCAGGGTTGTGTAAAGAGGAACTACTACGTGCTTTTGTCTGCCCTCACAGGCCTCGCCTCTCAGTGTCCTGGATCTTCACGTCTTCTTCCCCTCTCTGGCTCAGGGTCATGTTCTCTCTGGACTCTCCCAGATGTCTCCACCTCTGGCTGTGCTTTCCCTCATATCTACAATAAACCTTCTCCTCCATTAAAAACAATAAGAGTAACTCCTCTAACTGAAATCAAATCCAAGCCTTCCTAATCTCTATAAACACTGCTTTATCACAGACATTCTGAATTGAAACCCTATCACCACCATCATCACCGTCTCTCCACAACCATGGAAAACTAGGAGACCTCCATGAGTACTGACTAAGATGAGAGGTAAGTGTCAAACACACCAACCATCCCATCTCACAACACCAATATTTTTTATCCTACCGCTTACTATTTTCTAGAGTACAATTTCTGGAGCAATGGCTTAACTCTGAAACATTTATTCTTTTTGATTTCAGTTTTTCATTAGGAATATTAGATATACAAAAGCTAAAAGAGCTCTATTTTCTTATTTGCCAAATAGTGTTCTATGACTTTCCTGTTCAAATATAGAGATCGATATATTTGTCACCTGACACAATTATTTAGGGGTGTCCAGATTTCATATGGTATATTTGAGGGTTGATATAACTCAGTTGCAGAGTGATTAACTAGCATGCATCAGGGCTTTAGTTTGACCCTGACACCCCAAACTAATCCTAACCAGTTTTCCATAAAACATACACATTTAGACATAAAAAAAAATTTACTACATCAACAAAAAATACATTTTGATTTAATACATATTATATTTTCAAATTTGCATAATAAAAATTAAAGCTCTTACTTTAATACTGACATAATTATAGCCAAGATAAACAGTTTGAGCTCAAGTATACCTATTGTGTTTAGGATTCAAACTTTTTTAACCAGGTTATTATCAATGTCTTTTAAAAATGTATGTAAAACTACTATTATGGACTATCGGAAAATAACTGTGTGCACATGTATGTGTGTGTGCTTGCAGGTGTACATGTGTATATGTGTGCTTGGATGTGCGTGTGTGTTTGCAGGTGAACATGTGTATGTGTGTGCTTGGCTGTGTGTGTGTTTACAGGTGTACATGTGTATGTGTGTGCTTGGACGTTTGTGTGTTTGCAGGTGTACATGTGTATGTGTGTGCTTGGACGTTTGTGTGTTTGCAGGTGTACATGTGTATGTGTGTGCTTGGACGTTTGTGTGTTTGCAGGTGAATATGTGTATGAGTATGCATAAAACGTGTGTATTTGCAGGTGTGCATGTATATAAATGTGCACAGATTTGTGCGTATGTCTGCAAGTGTACATATATATAAGTGTGCATAGATGTTTGAGTTTGCATATGTGCATGTGCATGTGTGTGCCTGGATATGTGTTTACAGGTTTACATGTGCATGAGCGTGCCTGGATGCATGTGTGTGTTTTCAGGTGTACCTGTGTACAGTATGCATAGAGTTGTCTATGTTTGCAGGTGTGCATGTATGTGTATGAGTGTGCATAGATGTTTGTGTGTCTGCAGGTACACATGTGTACAGTATGAATGATGTGTTTGTCTGTTTGCGGGTGTAGATGCATATGAGTGTGCACGGATGTGTGTGCATTTGCAGGAAGACCAGAGGACAACCTTTAGTGTCCTTCTTCACCACCCACCCAGAATCTGATGAGCAGATTGGGCTGGCAAAGCAGGAAGGACAAGAAATCTGCCCATCTCTGCCTCCTCAGCTTCAGGATTACCAGGGTGTGCCACCATGCCTGGCTTCTGCACGTGGGTTCTTGGGTAGGAAAACCATGCCTGGCTTCCACATGTGGGTTCTGGAATAGGAATCAGGGCCTCTTACTCACCAAGCAATCGCTTTACCTCTGATTATCCATCTAGCCCAGAAACTTGTTAAAAATACTTGGAAAATGAGTTTACAGGAATGGAGGACAGTATTTTAGAATTCTTAAAAATGGAAATAAGATAGCCCCTAAATCGGCACAGGTAGAAAGAGCTCTATTTGTTTTATTGATAGATCTATAAAGTAACATGGAGCCAAACCCCATAGAGTTCATTACATACCTTTAAACCCAGCATTGCTCCTGTATCTCGAGGCACACTCCCGTCTTTCAAACGCTTATTTAATAAAATACGACCAATCAGGCGATCTCCATCTTTGGATGGCTGCCAGGTCACAGGGTGCTGACATACAACATCAACAAATAAGAAAAATTAATTTTATGTCAAATTACCATGATTGTACAGTATCTCTAAACATGAGAATTCTAAAGTATTATGATTACACAAACCAGTTTACATTCCAAATTATTGACTTAAGCACTTAAAATATTCTTTTTATAACCCCACTTTTATTAATGCAAGGGTTTTTTAAATCCAATTATAGAAAACTCTCAGTTATCATCTACCACAATATACTAAAGGATAATAGCTCTGAAATTTTCTTTAAAATATATGCTAACTCAACTTGCTGAAGATTAATTCAACCTCACAGGCAGAAAAGATACAATAAAAATCTACTTAATTGACTTCGGTAAAAAAAATGACAATTTCTTCTTCAAACACTTTTGGAAATTTTTGAAATACTCTATCTTAGTAATAGTTAAAAGGGAAAACATTAAAACGTGAAATCTAAACTCATAATTAACATAAAAACTACATGAATTCCCAATACCTGTCCAATTGAATGCACATGGAAGAAACAGGATCTACTCAAAGATAAACAGATTATGTCTCTCACTTCACAAAAACTCACTGAATTTATTTTAAATGGCGTTTTGCTACATAACCCAACCTTGCCTTGAACTCACTATGTAGCTTGGGTTGGCCTTGATATTGCTATGTGGCCTCTGTTGGTCTCTAAATCTTATGATTTCCCTCAGCTGAGCTTCTGTGACGCTGACATTAAGGACATGGGCCACCACAACTGCAGGCAAACAGTTTACTTATTGTTTTAGACATTTTAATCGATTCAGTAAATGTCTTTTAATAGATAATTCAAAGACAATTATTGTTACATAACAGTCATATTACCCGCTTGTTTGTTTCTTGTGACCTTGTAACTGATGAACCATTTCATTATTAATAATAATGCTAAGCAACAAAGTAAATGATTTGTGTAATCATATAATTCCATGGACACCTAAAAATAGCATGCCTAACTCCATGCAAAACTTAGCAGGCAAAAAGACAAATTCCAGGCAATCACATCTATATGGCGAAAGATTACATTTTTTTTGCTCTGCTAAAAGCAAATAAAATAATAACTATCAAAGCAGATGGCAATGAATCTAACACTAATCAACACTGATCAGAACGCCATGACGACAGAACCAAAGGACAGACGACAGTGGAAGGGAAAAAAGAAAAACAACTTTGTCTGTGCGAACACGCCCAAGCATCTCCCTTTTGCCTGGGATTCAGACTAGCGACAATTTGATTTTCATCCCGAGGAAAATACACGTGAACGTTAAAACAAGCCAATCCAAAAGTATTTATTGTTTATAACATTTCAAAGTTCTCTCATTCGACTGCACACAAAACACTTCTTTGTTCCTAAGTTTTATTTTCATTTACGTAGATTTTGGTATGCTGTCGATCAAGGAGAACAGCAACACAAGCAAAAGGCTTTTTGACTTAGTCGTTCAGTTGTTTTGTTTTTCTTTTCTGCACCTTAAGAAATGCTACATTGACCCTTGAAATGCCCTGTCTTTTCATTATGTCCTGATTTAATGAGTGACAGAGAGCAAACGAAGGAAGACCAGATGAGCAGGCTAGAGGCAGTACCTTCTCACCATGGCTCTGCTCCTCGTTAAGAGTGGTGCTACTACAGGTATCTACCCCAGAGTCCTTAATCTGAGGCTCAGACCATTCCAAATCCTCTTCCAAAGAGTGGCCACCACAGTACATCATTTTCCTTTGTCTCCCAGACCTGGTGTTAGAATCCGACCAAACTCCCTGCTCACTAGTTTTTCTTTTTCCCTTTTGACTGTCCCCTACAAGTGTGAGATAAAACAAAACAAAACAAAAAAAAAGATACAAAAAAAGAAAACATGCAAAGGTGTAAATAAAAAAGGAAAAGTGAAATGATAACGGAAATTAAATAGCAAGGCTCCACATGTCTCACCAAAGACATTGGGGAGGCCTCACTGCTATGCCAAGACGCATGGTCCAACCAGTTGTAATCCATGTCTCCTGCGAGAGCCGGGCAGACAAGAGCGCAATAAAGGAGACAATGGAAAAGGACAGATAGAGAAATTATAAACATTTTAAACTGTGGGATCCTAATTGCTTTCAAGAACTCTATCTGCATTACTCATTAGATACCAGGAAAAAGCTATGATTCCAAATAGAACTCACAAAATGCAAAATATAGGTCTTTTGTTGTCAAACAGGCCTACAGAACAAAAGCCTTGCAATAATTCCTTAAAAATGGAATACTTTTGCTACTAATAAGCAAAAGTAGAAACAAAGACTATTGGATAAGGAGATTGACAAAGCCTGGTTTTGAGTTCATTTATTTTGGCATGCTGGTATCAAGTCATGAGTTTTTCTCAAGACCGCTGAATGTGTGTAAATTACACAGTGGCTCAGCAATAATACTATTTTAATCCAAATAATTAAGTATTGTTACTGGAAATGACATATGACAATCTTTAGAATGATGAAAACTCAACATTTTAAGTGTTAAAAAATAGTTACACAACAATTTTCTGTGAAAATGATTTTAAAAGTTTCCTTCTATATCTATCAGTAGAAAGGAAAAGTGAAATAATAAATTTTACTTATATAACATGACTTACTTAATATTACATTAAAACAATTTATCTTTTTGAGAAATTACATTGTTACAGTTTTGACAGACAAATCACATGATGGTAACTTCTGATAAAAATCTATTTCCCAAACATAGTGTGTTTATTTATTACTTCAAAAGGGACTTCTTTTCAATATACATACATATATACACATATTTTATACACTGTTAGTATTTTCATTCATTTAAAAATGTTTACAGAATACCTTCCATTTGTTCTATATTGTACTAAGTTCTAGAGCAGTGGTAACACAATGACAGATGTTTGCAACAGTGTGGAGAGACACAACAGATGAGTGTGTCACAGGAAAGAACAAAATACTAGGAGAAAATGTGAACTCACCAAACACACCTAAAGTAACTATTTTTAACATGGGAACTGAAAGATGTCACTTAGTGGACAAGTAAAGAGATACACATAAGGAAAGGAAAAGAGAGAACATTCCAGTAAGAAGTAAAAACACCATGCTGTAAAAATAAAAAAGCAAAATGGGGAGTGGGTATCAGCATCCTTCAACGAAAGGAAGGAAGGAGAGCAGAGGGCTATGCAAGAATGGTGATGCACCACAGCACAGCTTAGAGGAACCCTTTCATGTCCATTAAAGGCTACCATTTTCAAACCTTAAGTGAAACAAGACAAAATCTGACCTAGGCTTTAAAAAGCTAGATCTAAATTCTATAAAGATATCGGGTTAGGAGAAACTAAAATTGAAAGGTGTTTTCAATAATCTCTGGGAAAGATAAAGGTGAGTATAACCTGCACAAAGGTAATGATAAGAGCTACCCCAAGAAAAAAGAACTGAGAATTTCCTGTATCAAGAAAAACTGAACAGTCAAGGTTAAAATTCAGATTTCTAGTCAAAGCAACTGAAAAAAAAAAAGACAATTGTGAGATGACAAAATTACAGGATGGACAATGATTATAAAATTCATATTTCATAAAAGCAAAATGATTTTTAAAACTGTATCATAGAGGTTATTAAACAATGGCCGGCCTGGATCAAGGAATAAAGATGTTTAAAGTCCCTAAAGTGGAAAGAAGAGAGTCTGAAAACATGTCAGAACTGCATGCATTGGGCACCGCTCTAGATCCAGAGAATCAAAAGGAATTGGTGGGGCCTAGCAATCTGTTTTAACAAGACTCCCAAGCAATTAGGATCTCATGTAGACGTGTCTAATGTCACTGTAATGTGATACTGTAGTCTACACATGTGTTGGTCCACATTCACAGCAATCCCGGTACACAGACAAATGCAGCCCAGAGACTGGAAACAATTATCTTTAAATGTTTGTTTATGAAAACAAATTAAACTGTATGTTCTAATACACACAAAATAAAATGTATAGAAAGAACTTCATTCTTTACACATGGACCAGAAAGGTGCTTTTTTAAACAACTTTATCACACAGATTAAAAAATTAGAATTCCAGTAGTTCACACCAATAGATGGAGGTGACCAGTCCATTATATATTTATATCCCTGCTTGGGATGACCCAGGAGCCTCAAAGTATTTATATCTTAGAAAATCTGCTGCCTTCTCAAAACATACTATAATTCCATAAGTAAGCATTATGTGTTTCTCAGTTAAAGGAGATAAATAATATAACACCTATAAATAAAAAGTCTGGGTGATTTAAATGAAAGAAAATTCATTCAGTTCACAATCTCTCATCCTCTCCTGATTTCAGACTACACAAAGGTCAGAAATGTGGCCTGTACTCTGTAAATAACATAGTTTAGTACTTTAAAATGTTTGAAACCAAAGTAAATATTCCTCCTATTAATGAAAAAAAAGGTATAAAAGTATCATACACCTGGTATTGAATAGCATTTGTTAAAGGAGTAAAATCTAGTGCCATTTTGAGAATTAAATAAAGTAATGATCATCAAACACATGGAAAAAATATCTGAAACTATCACAAATAATGGTATGTAGACATTAGCAGTCACTATTTAATAATAACTCTTGTATGACTTCAAAGGGCAAAACTAATATAATAAAATGTCATTTGGTAATGATATAAAAACATATTCATGGATCTAGAGCAAGAACCGTTAAAAGACAGAAAATAACCAACTGGAAAATGTATAACTGAAAACCGCCTGAAATATACCAAAGCCAGATGATGGGCTCCTCCGCAATGCAGAGAGGACAGAGCAATGACTACATGCCTTGGAGTGTAGAATGGGAAAAAAAGTTACTCAATATGGAAAATGGAAATAGACTAAAGAATTATAGAAGGTGAACAAATATTCAAAACCTGAGAGATGGTAATAAAAGATATTCATTCTCATTATAGAATGAGAAAAAAATAAGCTGAAAAAGTATTAAAAGTTAGGAGTTGAAAATTTCCTATACTGTAAAAATGTAAGCCTACAGGTTCAAAATGTCTTTAAATTAGAAGAACACAAAAATCCATACAAAGATATAGTCTAACCAAACTAAAAAATAAAAATAAAAACTATTATAATACACACACACACACACACACACACACTTTTATAAAAAGGAGGGAAAGAATTACACTGACTGACATAAAATGTTGCAGAAGAACTTGGTAGGGTACAAGGGATGAGAAAAAAAAAAAAACAACCTAGATTCTAAAGATGATGAAATTATCTTTCACGAACGAAGAACGCTGTGAGAGAAAAGAAGGCTAAGGAGTTTTTCACCGGCAGGACTACTCTAGAAGAGCGGCTAAGGACACCGACACATGGAGTGACAAGGAGCCTGGAAACAGCAAAGGGAATGGGAAACACGGCAAGTGAAAACATGGGTGGATACAACCGAGTTTTGTTCTCCGAGTTTTCTAAATTATCTAAGATATCTGAAGTGCAAAGTATACAATGCCTAATGTTTGGTTTTCAACCCATGAACAAGGAATATTTAAGAGGGGGAGATAACTAAGTACAAGAGCAAAAGGTTTCTCTATTTACCTCTAAATGGGTAACTATACAAGCTGGTAGTATGTAAAAGGTACACATGAAACATATTACATTATCTAGAGCAATCAACAAAAAATTATGAAAGGAAAAACTAGAAAAATCAAAAAATGTTCAAACAACTCAAGGGAATACAAGAAAGATAAAAAAGAAACCAAAAAAAATGAAAGGAAGATGAAAGAAAGAAAGAAAGGAGGGAGGGAGGGAGGGAGGGAGGGAAGAGCCAATGGCAAACATAAAAGAAAGTGAAAATAATAAATCTAAGCGTGACCAAGGAAATACTTAACAAAATATTCATAAATAAAATTTAGCAAGGAAGAAATAATCTATAACCAAATGAAGTTTGTTTCTGGAACACCGAGTAGATATCTCAAATTCAATATAATTCATCATTTATACAAATTAAAGAAGAAAATCAAATGATCCTATCAATTTATCTATTGATACTGAAAATATTTTTTAAAGATTCAGAGAATGATGAATAGACAGAAACTTGACCAACGTAAAATACAACATAAAATCTAAAGCTAAGGTACTTAACAATGAAAGCCAACTGCTTTATAAATAGAAAAAAAGTCAAAAACAATTTCTTTATTTATATAGCTCCAAAGCTGAAATAACCAAAACATTCTACAATACATAACAGCTGAACAAAGGGACATACAGACATCACAGATGCTGCCTAAAAATTAACTGAAGGTGGGGGAGATTATTGAATAGGAAAAACTATTGACATTTAGAATGTGTTCAAATGCATTAATGCTAAATGGAAAAAAATCTCAAAATGTCATTGGGGGATGTTTTATGAATGAAATAATATTTATGTGACTTTTTGAGGTCTTCTTAGTGATTGGCACATGTAAGAAAGATGTGCTTAAAGTGATGTCTCTCTAGAGACAGCATCACAATGATCATTGTAAGACAATCAACCATAGTCCAAAATTATTAATGGACAATTCTGAAAATAAAAAAAATCCTTAAGTTTTACATTTGTGCTCTGAGTCATGGGACTAATCAGGGCATTGTCTTAGTCTGTCCCACCCAAGAAGTAAGTTACCTTTTAGTCTCCATATTCTATCTACTACCTTGTCTGTGGCCAAGGAGAGAGACTTCATTACAGAATATTGTTAATATGTTTTATTATTAGCTGTTATAGTTACTAATCTCTTGTTTTGCTAAATTTACACATTAAACTATCAATATGCATATGATGATGAATGGTATAATGTAGCGT